ATAAGAGGCATATTCCTACTAGGGACTCCTGCTGCCGAGAATATGGAACACCCCGTGACTCGAAGCAACCGAGCCGATGGGCGAGGCAGAGGAAGAGAACCCGAAAAAGGAAAGAGCCCAAGTTGTGGGATGCCCAGGCTGCAATGGCCGAGTTGCCCCAGGACTGGTGAAAGTAAACAGGCTGACATTAATAAAATTTTTCAAATCTTAATAAAATGTAACACCCTTTATCCAGGTACTCTTTACATTTTGACTTTGACTTTAGTAATCTGTGCCACCCTGGTACAGGCAGGAAATCCCCATGAACCAATGCGATGGAAATTACAGCAACTTGACGCAAGTCGTGTTGTAAGTAAATATATAGGACCTGGCACTCCATTTTTTAATGCAACTCCATGCCAACTAATCGGGCAATATACACCTGTATGTAAAAAACAAGGGTGGCAAGGAAATAAAAGTTCGACTTATTTATGTCCAGCATCGAATCCAGGAAAAGGATATTGTAATTATCCCGGCCATTATTATTGTGCGTATTGGGGATGTGAAACTATTGCCCTTGAGTGGAGTGTCAACCGCGATAAACACCTCAGTGCTAAGTGGAAACCTGAAGGATGTAAGGTACCATCATATACCCATGGCGGGGATGTACTAGGAGGACAATATGCTTCTAACTGTCAATACCTTCATTTTACCATACTGACTCCTACGGACGAAAGCTAGTTAGTAGGAAAGATGTGGGGAGTTAGAATTAGAGAGCCAGGCCCAGATCGAGGAGGTCTTATTAAAATTGTTAAGGAAAGAGTTCCTTACGACCCTCTCCCAGTAGGTCCAAATACAGTTTTAAATCCACCCTCTCTTCCCGAGGAGGAAGTCATTCCGTCCTTTGACCCAAACCTCACAATCTTAACTTCAGGAACCGATACACCAGGCGTTAAGGTAACCGAAATCTCTGTGCTTAGACCTTTAGAGCCATTCGAACCTAAAGATCCCCTGTGGGACCTGATGCAAACCTCTTACCAAGCTCTTAATAAAAGTAAACCGAATCTGACATTAGATTGCTGGCTATGTTATAATGTCAGACCTCCTTACTTTGAAGCAATAGGAAAACCTAATAAAGTCCGATGGTCAAATGGATCAAATCCTCGAGAATGTAAATGGGAAGAACAGAGAAATCATACCCAAGGGGTAACAATACAAATGGTAACAGGCCAAGGTAGATGTATAGGAACTGTTCCCACCAGGTACCAACCCTTATGTAATCAAACTATTTCTCGCTGGGGAATAGAACAGCATAAGAATAAAAATGACAAATGGATAATACCATCAGGAGGAGCTAAATGGGTATGCTCAGACATAGGAGTAACTCCCTGTCTATCCCTCGACATTTTTAACAAAAGTGTGTTTTGTATTCAAGTAATTATCGTACCTAGAATCATGTATCATACCTCAGATGTATTTCGACACTTTGAAGGAGAACTCCCCAGACAAGTCAGAGAACCTTTTACTGCAGTAACTATAGCAACCTTGTTGATTACAGGAGGTGTGGGGGCAGGAACCAGAATAGCTTCTTTAGTAAAAGGAAAAGAAATACAAAATTTACAAATGGCTGTTGATGAAGATCTCGCAAGAATAGAGCAGTCCATACAAAATTTAGCTACGTCTGTTAAATCGCTATCAGAAGTTGTTCTGCAGAATAGAAGGGGATTAGATCTATTATTTTTAAAGGAAGGGGGATTATGTGTAGCCCTTAAAGAAGAATGTTGCTCTTATGCTGACCATACAGGGGTAGTACAAGACGCCATGGCAGAATTAAGAAAGCGGCTAGAGCAAAGGAAAAAGGATAGGGAAGCTAATCGCTCGTGGTATGAAAACTGGTTTAATGTTTCACCATGGCTAACTACCCTACTCTCAACTTTAGCAGGACCAATAATCATGATTATGTTAGGACTAATGTTTGGACCATGTATATTAAAATATATCTTACGCTTTGTTAAAGAACGCTTTGAAATTGCAAAATTATTAATGCTTACTTCTGAATATAATTCCAGATATAGTATTGTAGCCACTGATGAAGGTGATAATGATTATTGTAATTGCAAAGTTATACATTGTGCTTGTGAAAATAACTGTAACCAATGTGGGAAGGAGTTTGCTTGCTCTCAGGGAGAGCAAGGGAGTGAAGTTTGATAAACGAATTTCAATTATGAAAAGAAAAAGGGGGGATTGTGATAGACCATGGCGGGTGGTATTGTTTATCAAACAGGATGTCCTGCTTAAATAGATAAACTAGAGCAAATGTTAAACTGCAAGGAACTATACAAATGCTGATGTAAGGTATAAGATTGCCACATGGTCAGCCCAGATAAGGAAAACAGTTGCTGACAAAACAAAAGGGCAAGAAAAGGACACCCGAGGAAGACATCTTACTTCAGCCTTGACGACCACCGGGAGGCAGAAAAGACCCCTTAGCAACAGCCCAGACATGCGCAGAGTGCTAACACCACATCAAGGAAAACGGAACTAAGAGACTATAAGAAGAGACTTTCTGACACGATAAGGCGTGGCAGTTGGCGGAGCGGAGACTCCCCCTGTCGTCCAGCGCTGCATTTGCTCATATTCTACTTGCTGTAACCAAGTAATCAATAAATTTCAATTGGTATCTTGATCCATTGTGGTTTCAATTTATAACAAGTATGTAGGAATACATGCCAAAAAAACAGGAATAAGTCAAACAACATGATGCCTAAGGGGTTCATCTCCAATACATAAATGAATAACTCAAAATTATTATTCGTTTTCTACTTTTCCTCTCGTGCCCCACTTTGGAAAAATAAAACTATTGTCTTGGTTTATAGAGAATGTGTGCCAGGAGGCTGGACCTCCAATGGAATAGAAACCCCTCCCTCCAAATTATGAAAACTTGAAATTATGAGATGTTTGAATAAAGTGTAGAAACAAATAACAGTTTTTACTAAAAACAGAGAACAAAACAGAACAAAACAATCAAAGCAGCAAAACACAGTAACCACAGAGGTACAGGGAGAAAATGGTCTGCCTTTCCACTCCCTCTCCTGAAGAGACAGGAGATTGCCTGGCCATGTGGTTCTCCCCTCCCCCCAGCAAACAAAAGGAATGCAGGGAGGATGGCAACAAAACCTGGTTAGTTATTTCGTTGCTGCTGGTTGTATTAATTTGGCTCCTATTGTGAGAAAGAAGGTAACCGGATTTATTACAAGCAAATGAATTAAACGGGTCACTAACTTAAGAATTTTTCTTTACTAACCTATAAGGTGTATCGCGGAGCTGTAAGATACCTGGTCCTGTCTGGAACTGGTATCAGGGAACCACGTGGACGGGAACAGGGAAACTGTAAAATGAATATTGGTAAAGAAACCCCTCGTGCCACGTGGCTGGTCCTGGGGGCCGCCATACTGCTGGGGGCCCCACCTCCCAGCACGGCACAGCCAACCAGGGAGAGGGGAACGCCTCTTCTATTATGTAAATGATGCAGGACCTTGAGAACTTTTAAAAGCTCAAGTTTTGAATTAAGAAGAGGTATGTTCATGGGACCCTTGGGACCTGGGCACCCGGCGCGCACTGTATTAGAACTTTCCTTGCTCTTTTTATTTCCTTGTTTCACAGATATTTTTTTTGCCGTTTTTTTCTAAAACTAATAAATGAGATTTTTCTCACACTATAGTGAACTGTGTCTGATGCAGGGCTCCCCTCTGAGTGCCATCAGCTTGAGGCATGGGGCTGATGTAGGAGACATGTCCCAGGGATGCTGGGTGAGGCATCCTGGGATTGGTAGTTTCCTATGCTGTACTCTGACACACATGGGCAGAGTGAGCCCGCTGTGATTGGTCAGGAGAGTCATGTGTTGCCCGAGGGTATACAAGAGGGCTATTTTCTGTTAATAAAGGATTTGGTTGTTGGGAACCCTAACTGCCGGGTCATGTCTTATTATATTACATTAATAAGCCACAGGCTGGCAATGGGGCAAGCTTTTGACATGGCACAGCTGCTGCAGCAGTGGTTTTTCACCCCCCAGCAGCTGGTGGTGAGCAGAGGTGGCGTGGGTCCAGCTGGTGCTGTGCGGGAGTGAGGTGGCAGAGGTCAGAATGCAACTGGCGTGGGGCAGTGGCGGGAAGCTGGTGGCTGAGCTGGGAGTCAAAGGGCAGTAGCAGCGGCTGTGACCGTGGTCAAAAAATGGTGGAAGAGGTGGCTGCACTGGTGGGGGAAGCACCAGTATGCAAAGCAGCGCTGGCACCTGGAGCGTACATACGACAGGTGTCTTGGCTGCAATGGTAAGTAGCAAAGGTGCAGGGGAAGTGGCAGCGCAGGGGCAGCAGCAGTTGGGGACCTCCTGGGTTCCATTCCAGAAGTGAGAGAGAGCAAACCTGGACTGCTAGCTGTTGCGGGTCGAGGCGGGACACGACACGAACCCTCGTGGAACCAGAAACTGGAACCCTTTATTGCACACCGCTGCTATTTTTATACACTTTTAGGCTACACATGTTAACTCTTTATTGGTCTCCAATTTACATAAATAACCTTCTATTGGTTGCTAATGACATTATATAACTCTGTTAACTGCACATGTCAGCCAACTATGACTCAGCATATTTTACCGGAAAACCATATTGTTACATCTTCCGGGTCCGGGCATAATTCTCCCCTGTGCAAAAGTTCCTACTTAGCTTTAACTCTTCCAGGATCCCCCAGGCCAGCTGGGGGAAAACCACCACAACTAGCCTCTTTTATTTCCCCACACCAGGGATCCCGCTCCAGTTCATGCAGTGCCTTCACCCCAGTGATCCCATCTCCTCCAACACCGGTCCCCACTCCTCCTTCTCCCTGCTCCTTCCTTCAAAATTGCACGGTGGCATGGAGAAATTCAACAAGAAAATCTAAACCACAACATACATGTACTTTTTACACTTTTTTTTAATTTCTTTACAAAAGTCTTGTATTGCTTCAAAATTGTAACTTGCATCCAATGCAAATATAGGCATAATCACTTAGATGAAAAGTCTTGAAACAGAACTGCTTTATTTAACTAAGAAATGAAAGTAATACTTGACTAAAACCAGCAATGCAGTCTTGCATTTTCATTAATAAAATATTGTCATATTAAACACAATTTGATTGCAAAGCAGATTACAATTAAGATTGCAGTAAAAAGACTGTGTAGGAAATAAATAAGGCGGTTTTATTACAAGCAGGGGCTTCCATGGTTGCCATGTGTCGAGATGCCTGGAGGTCATTTTGTTTGGGGAGTTGGGGAGTCATTTGGTGGTCAGGGACTGGTGGGCTGCCTGCATTACTTATTGCTGCTTGCAGATCTGCTTGCAGTTGTTCCTTGCTGCTTGCAAGTCTGATTACAGTTACTGCTGCTTACCGTTACCTACAGTTACAGTGTGAAGGCGGGCCGGAAAGCATGTAAGGCAGGGAGATCAGTCTGTGCTCACTGCCAGGGAACCACGCAGCCAGGACAGGGAAACAACCTGATAGGTCGGTTAAGACAACCAATGGACTGCACCAGAAAGCAAAGGAAGGTGTGGCCCGGCCCTGAAAGGACCCAGTTGAATCCAAGAAGAGGATTATATCACCTTTTAAGGAAGAAAAGGAGTGGGGCTTGGCATGGGAGGAGTGAGGGAGTGGTTATGTAAATCAAGGGACCTTAAAAGGGCTCGTCCCTCCCATTCTGGGTGTGTTTGGACACGGTCACAAATCTGGTGCACCCAGTGCGCTGAAATTAAAGTTCTTTGTTTCACTTTATTTGACTGTCTCTGAAATTTTAATTAGAGATATTTCTCACAACTGTACCATTTTATATGTTAGAAATTTACCATTCAGTAAGGTTTGCAAGTTAAGAGCCAAATATACTCTTCCAATCAAATCTACAGTACAGTATGTGCTTAGCTAATAATGGAACTCTTATCTGCAAAAGTGTGTAGTATACATTAAAATTTATGTAGCCTGTACGCAGCTTAATTTATTGTAAAGTTTCAGCAGTCCAATTCATTATTGGTTTTGCATGTTTGGGAGTAGCAGGGACCCTGCAAAAGAAATGGTGAGGAGGCAAACTGATTTGGAAATTTCTCTTTGCTCAAGAAACCTGCTGTGGTTAAAGAAACATGTTGAGAGAATGTGTGAGAACAACCACCTTTTGTCCTTCCTGTGGAGCTGCTTCTTTATGAGACTAAACAGGGAACTTTCTTATCTGAGAAGATGCCAAAGAAACATTCCTTCCCACAAGTGGGGGAAGGGAGGTGTAGGGGAAAAAGGTAAATGGCTCAGAAAGCAGCACCTGGAATGCCCAAGGGCCCCTTTGATATGCACGGCTGGGAGGCCCTGGGGTGTGTGTATGTTTTTTGCCACCCAGCTGCTGCAAGTTCATGGAGCTGTAAGCGTCTCTGAATAAACTTCCATTCCTGCTGGAAAGTCCTTAGCTCAGCCTTCTGATTTTACCTGCATGAACACTGGAACTGACACATGAATTAGTTGAAGCAAGTTTTATTGTTTTAATAGAGAATTTACAATAGATACTGGTATGTATGAAGTTCTTTCCAGAGAGAGTGATCAGGCATTGGAATGGCCTGCCCAGAGAGGTGGTGGATTCACCGTCCCTGGAGGTTTTTAAGATGAGGCTGGATGTGGCACTGAGTGCCATGATCTAGTAATCACAGTGGGGTTGGATCAAGGGTTGGACTTGATGATCTCGGAGGTCTCTTCCAACCCAGTTAATTCTATGATTCTATGATTCAAAATGGTCATATAAAATTTCCACTTGTAGGTTAATATTTTGCCCCAATACTTTTGATTTCAGCATTTAAAAAAACACTTGATAATACAAATACAATAAAGATTTTTTAAATTAGTGACTTGCTTTCAAAAACATTACTTATGTGTCACTTCCCTGTGCTAAAGCTGTGGCAAGCAGATTAAATGCTAAAAATGGTGGATTTAGATAAAAAATTAAACTAATATAAATGGCAGTATTTGTCATCCTGCTGCTATAAAATACCCATCTAAAATGCTATTTCTCCCAAAGTACTATGTTTACATTCACATCACACAACCCTCAGAGCACTTAAATTCCAAAGGTTTGCAGTCAAAGTGAAAGGAAATGCTGCTTGCTTTTATCATCTTCTGTGATTTTTCAGGATTTTCATCTTTGGTAATAATAAAGTTACCATCTCAAAGTTTCAAAGTCCTGCATGATGCATCTCTCTTTACTGCAGCTGTATTTATTGCAATTACCCCAGGAGGAAGTAAACCAGTATTTTAAACCTCTTTTAAAACAATCTCCAGTTTTGCAAATCTGCTTTCTAAATTCCAGTCAAAGGAATTTTTATAAAGTTGTATGTATTATACAAACACTGTGCTTTCCTGATGAAGAGCCAAAATTTGAAAAAGGAATTGAGTCCTGTGAATAACAAAGTGTATAGGCACAGGTGTTTTTTTTTAAAGGCACAAATGTTATACAATTCATATAAAAATAAATTAAATCTACAGCATTGATTCAAACAATCACAATACCCATAAAATTTCCTAACTGCAGAAGTAAATCTCTTCTGTCTTTTGCAATTTTGTAACACATTGCACTTAGGAAAAAAAACCCTATGTAAAACAACTTACCTGTTAATAATATATGATACACAGGCAGTAAGTTACATTTTTTTTATACTTCTCTAACTCAGCTGGTTTTATGGCATGAGTGGATGGAATAACTATGTGAGACTTTGCTTTCTTTTCAAATTGGTAATTGAAGAATCTGAAAAATTAATATTGCTTATGGAAAGACGAAATATTTTTTACTTACTTTCCCATATTTTTAGGTTCAATGTTTACAGTATAACATAAAATTTCATACTTTCAGTACAACTATTGATTACTACTTTGACTTCATCTATAAATTTACTAATGATCATTTACAGAAGTATTAATTTCAGTGCTATTATAAAGTAATAAAAAGTTTCCAAAATGAGTTTTAAAAGTGCATTTCCTGTTCTGATGGTTAAACCTCAAAGTAGGTCAACATTTAAAAAAAATTAATGCATGTTAAAATAGTGTTTGAAAAGTAGAGAGGTCAGAGTAAACTTCTTGCACTCCTTTGATCCAATGACTTCCACATGTTAATCAGCAGTCTGCCATATACCATCCTGAAAAATAAAGGTAGGGTTTTTGCAGTCAGTAGATAAAACAGTTTTTTTCAGTATTTTCCTGCAAGCAGTTTGACTAACTATGGAAAACAAAAAAAGTAAAACAGTTTTCAGCCACATTTTTTGAGGAAAAGTAATTATTTATGCATCACTTATTTAACAGTTTTATAATTTATAATTTAGCACTATATAACATATCATATTAATTTGAATATATAAGCATGTCGGTATCTTACCAGTGGCAAATCTCTTCTTAAGGAGAGAAAGTCGATAGCCAGTGCTTACTAGCTCTACATCTATTCCTGAAAGGGTGTTTCCTTCACTAATGAATTGCACTGCAAGTGTTGCTGGTTTACTGGGTCCTTCTGAAAGTTCAAATTTTGCCCTGAGTGATCCAGAACCTATAAAAATAACAAAACTGAAAGACTGGTTGTTTCGCAAGACCAAGGCAATCTCCCAAAAATTTTAGTAGTAAGGAGTAGAACTAAAATGGTGATCTTTAAGACCTATTTCTAGTGGCAGTTCTATATAGATTTTCAGAAGAGATGAGAGTACAACTCTTTTTTCTAATACTCTGCTTAAGACAGTGACTAGTGAATAAATTAGAGGGAAGCAATACACATTTCTACAAGATTATACTCATAGAAGAATGTGTATATCCGACAGCCTGGTAGTCTCTTATTACATTAAATACCTGATTGTTCCCTGTAATCATCAGTTATGCTTCCTGGTTTATCTTGTATGTAGTACTTTTCATTAGCAGATTTTAAAGTACATCAGAATACTTAAATGTTTTCACAATCTGCCTGGATGAATGCACATGAACAAAACCATCGGAAGAAATGCAGTTGAACAGTAATGTACCAAGAGGAAAGCAATTCTTATTTTTTAAATAAATACAAGGTCTGATTAAATACATTTCCCAAAAACCAGTTGCTTTTTCATAGACAATGGTGAAGTTCACTTCAGTGCCAGTATAAAGTAGCAATAGTTCAAAATTACTTTAAGTACACCTTTGTAGTCAATGCAAGACATAAAACCCCCCCAACATTATTGTTGGTCTCCTTTTCTAGTTCTTAAACAACACTTTTTTTGTCCTTACAAAATATGCTGGGAAAAAAAGATTTAAACAGTGAATTAATGGAATAGTGAAAGTCAAGTATTTTTATTTATTTAAAACAACTAGTCAATTGGAACTTCTAAGTGAGGAGGAAAGCTAGTAACTGAAATTTTACTAGGGTAAAAGCAGGAACTGATGAATGAAATTGTTTTATGCAGTGGCTTGTTCTTGGCTTAAAGTCCATTTCATTTTTCCAGTAGGTCTGTCACAGTTTGGATAAATCGTAACTTCTTTCCACTGTGAGTATGGAAACTCATATATTCAAGTGCTTAAAAAAAACATTGCATCTGCAAAGGCTGCGAGGGTTGTGACATCACCTGGACCTCAGGGAAAGGCAGCTGGGCAGAGGACAACTTGTACCTTACAGAATGCTATATAAATTACAGCTCTCAGCAGATGTACATAGATTTTTTTTTTCCTGGAGCTGTATAAGGTCAAAACAAAAAACCCTAAAAATGTTGGTTGAGAATCATCTATAGTTGAGTCTATCTCAGCATAGGGCTCTTGGATTTTTTTCTTTTCCCCGGTTCTTCCACTTACCTCTTTCTACTTTATCTCAACTGTCAGTGTATGGAAAATCAGAACACAGATGTTAAATGTATTTCCCTTTCAAGAACTGCTCATTTCCTTGCCCAGTCTAAACTCTGTTTTAGTGGCACTAGCTGCTTTCAAGGGTCTTCACTATTTTGCTTTTTATAATTAGCCAATATTTTTATATCTCACTGTTAATGGAATGTCTCGGGAGGAATTTGATAAGAAAGTGGACTGATAAAGAGGATATGGCAAGTGTAAACAGGCATGAGGACACAGAGGCTAAAATGTTTATCTTTTTACTGTTATCATTTTTCTGTACAAGAAAACAAAACAAAAGACTTACCTCCATTCTCAGACTTCTCTGAAATGCTAGATATTTTCCAATAAGCTTTCATCTGATCTGCATTCCTGTAAGACAATGGAAGATTAGTTATAAGCACCAACTTTTAGAATTTTTTTCAGAATATTATTTCCCCAGATTTACACTGGCACCTTACAGACCTATAACCTACATCTCTCAGTGGAGGTTTATAAAAATATTTCATCATTTTAAGGTGAGTTTGTGGAAAACTATACAAAACAAAAAGGAAAACAGAAGGGTGCACCTGCATTGCCCCTGAGCTTGCAGCAGACCTCAGACATATATACCACCTTTTTATACAGTTAACACTGTTCTATGCCCAGGTTATGGCTGCACTTCACAACTCAAAACCCTCTGTGGTCTCAAAAAGTAAGGGCAGGCCAAACATGCTGGAAGCAGTTTGAAAGATGGGTTTTTGTGCTTCTTGATGATGGTATGAGGGGGAGCAATATTGTTTGCTATGTGAGACTCCTGGCTGCGTGAATTTTATTCCATTTCCATTCTAGTAAAACTAGTTGGCAGAAGTGACTCAGAGCTGAACTTAACTTCTGATGCTGTAATGGGACAGAAAAGCAAAGGGCACCAAGCACCATAGTCTCTAAGCTGACAGGGCATTTTAACTCTGAGAACTTTGCAGCTGTTCTGTCAAAGTCAAGTCAACAACTTAAAGCTGTGAGCAGCATGAAGTGCTGATAGGTTTGAAACTGTCTGGTATTGGTGTAGCAGGAGTGAAATGCTCACACAAGTAGCATAGATGGTAGTGGTTACTTGCAGGAGATCGAATCAGAAAATATTTATTCTTAAAAAAACCTCAACCCTCTAGACCAAGCATATAGCAGGAGACACATACTAGAGCTGCCTGGGACATGACTGTATTTTTTTGTCAGGTTTCAAGTCTCAAAATTCTAGCCTTGTGTAGTTGCCTAGGTAAAAGAAAGAATACATGAGGCTTGAGTCCCTTACTCTGATGAATCTGAAATGAAACTGTCACTAATCTTTCCAGCTAACACTATGTGTTCTGGGTGGACATTCCTGTCCTCACTTAGGTTTCATTACTGAGGGGTTTGTGGAAGAAACCTGAGCAGGGAAGGGGGAAACTGGCTTCATCAAAAATTCTAGTCAAGTTGTGGAAGCAAGATACTGAACCTGCCCTTGCTCAGAATAAGCTTAAGGAGATTTAGTTAAAAGTATTGTTCCCTTGAAATACCAAGTCAAGAAAGATTCAGTCTTGGCAGGATTTTTTCCACTTAAAATAATACTGTATTACCACTTTGTCCAATTAACACATTTAAATGTACTGTCTCCAGAATCATCAGAACCTTTCTGATAAATACACCTGGCTTATTTTATTTCTGAACCTTGCTTTATAAGGTAAATTGATCTATAAGTAATAAGGTTAACAAAGCCTGACCTCCCACAACTTAGTATTCTTTTCCCCTCTTAAACTTCATGTTAAAGACCCTCTTGTTCCTCTTGAAAATAAACAGTCCAGGAATAACATTACATCTCGGCAAGTGCCTACATGCTGCCAAACCATAGGCGCAGTGATTGAATTCTGCTCATCTTTTGCTCCAAGGATATTGCACTCTGCCTAGCCCTTCTACCCCATGCTTGTTTTCACAAACTTGTAGAAACATAATTATCTGAGACACATCTTACTTTCAAGTGCTGCTGTAAATGGTCTGCAGGCTTAGAAGGTGGGGCCAGATAGCTGTGAGTCAGATAATAATCAGCATGACACTTGAATTGAGAGACAATGCTACCTGGCTTACGAAAAGTTCTTCGGCTACTGAAGTTTGTTTTAAAACTATTTCAATTATAAGATAATTTTTAAGCTAGAACAATCAAGAAATATTTTTAAGAACTGCATTTCTTCTAATCTCTATATATCTTGATATATTTAATAATACACACACGTACATACATAATGGCTTTTAACCATTAAGATATTTCTGTTTCAAATAGTGTTATTAAAAATATCTATCCTGTCTACTGGCAAAAAGAAAGCAAACATTAGAAATTTCAGAAATGCTTGTATTCAGAAAGGTTTGTATTATTATGCAGTTGGAATGGGTGCATATAATCTCATTTTAGTCAATGTGAATTGGCTGTACATCATCTACTTTGGACCAGAAAATGTCCTAAACATCTGGTACCATGCATTTTATCAAGAGGAAAAAAATTCTCTGTTTCTTCCAGTGACATTTTTCAGGATGACACTAATGAATACTCTGAAATGAATTTGAAATAATATAAAGAAAAGTATTACTATTACCATTTTGCAGGTGGAAGTGATTGCATGTTTGTTACTCCTCCATCTACTGGTACCACAACTTGCACATTAGACAGCATACTAGGCACATTCATAGACTCTGGATTATACTTATAATCCACTCTCACATCAGTAGTGCTAGCATTACATTTCCAGTAAGTTGCAAGATTCAAGGGAGTGGACTGGATGCCATTTGAAGATACCTGTAAAAGAATAAACCATTGAAAGCATCTTAATCAAAATATTCCTATTTTGGGCAGAATTAGGGAAAGATGGTAATAACTCTAAATCCCGACAAATTACCAACAGAACAATTGACCTCTGAGCCCTTAATCTCAGAATTCTGAAGACTGTTGTAGCCTAAAGTAATTCCTGGTTTGTTTGGGTTTGAAGTCTCTCTGGGCCGTGAGGCTCCTTCCTGTTCTGGTTTTCATAAGTCAAAACAGTTTTGTTTTAGTCTTCAACTAGACCTTATGACAGTGACCATCACCCTCTGGGCCTGACTGTTCAGCCAGTTTTCAATCTCCCTTGCTGTCTGATAATCCAGCCTATACTTCATCCACTTCCCTATGAGGATGAATGACAAAAGCCTTCCTGAAGTCTAGGCAGACAATATCCACTGCTCTCCCCTGATCTATCAGGCCAGTCATTTCATCATAGAAGTTTATCATATTGGTCAAGAATGACTTTCCCTTGGTGACTACTCCCGATGACCTTCTAGACCTTCACGTGCCTGTAAATGGTTTCCAGGATGAGTTGTTCCATTATATTGTGAGAGGTGATAACATTATGCATTCTCATATATTACAGTTGATACGTTACAGCATCAAAAAATATGCAATTACAAAATCAAAATAGACTATAATTACAAACTCAAACAAACCCCCACCAAACCCCCAAATTCAAGAAAAACTTAACTTTGTTAACAAATAGTTAAAGTGTTTGAAGCTTGCACACGTGAATTGGACTGAAGTGTGAGCAAGCTGAAACAGGTCATGAATGAACATAAAGGCATAACCTGAATTCACTCAGCCTTGGCAGAATCAATGCACTGGAAACAGTGACATACCCAGAACTGGCTTAGATGAGGGATGGCAGTTCATCTGCATGCAAACAGGCAAATAACAATTCTTATAATTTCTGTACAGATATGAAATCTGCCAGAGTTCCTTAAAAAAATTCAAAGGGAAAAAAGTGTTTACCTGATACTTTAAAACATCCACATTATAATAGGATGCAGATGGATTGTGCTCTGATAATTTCTTGAGGTAGACAGTTATGGCTTGCATGTTCATCCAAAAATCCTTACTACTGGAGTCACTTTGTGACTGATCACTACAAAGAAAAAGAAAGATAGGAATCAAAAAACAACACTGAGTTTTATTATTTTGTATGTCTAAAAATTAAGACTAGATCTTTCCCCTTCTTCACTATTCCAAGCAAGAATTTGTTCTAATGCTTTATAACACATAATTGTACCTTCCTAAATATTAAGACAAATTACTGTTTGTTGTAGCTGGTAAAAATTCTCCTTCCAGGTTGTCAAGCAGTGAGTTTTCTCCACTGATGATCTGCATCCCAAGATGGAGTGAATGCCAAATTTGGATTTTACATTTAATAATCAGGTGCCATGAGAATGTGTAGGAGGTGGGAATGAAAGTGGTGCTTGAAGAGGAACGTTATACAATTTGGGATAAATCCTAGAATCATAATTAGCTTTTGTTATGGCATAGCTTCGCTAATGCAATTGAATTAAGATTTGTGCTGTATGTTACCCCACTTTGACATATTTATAGAGAGTGCAAGCTTTTAAAATTTTTTCAGTTAAAAGTGATTTTCAAATTATTATAAAAACCTGTTTCTCAGATACTTATAGTTGCATTTAATCTTAGTAACAATTTATTATATAATTTCTATATGTAGGTAAGAGTGCATGACTACAGAAGCAAAATCCTGGTTGGGAGCTACTGGAGCATGAAAAGGTGTTTTGCAGCTCAAAAATATTTTCAGTTCTGGTGGTATCAGGTTTATTTTTTAATAAGGATGAAGCTTTTAAGAAAACTGATTCAGAAGCAAAATTCAAATAACTTCAGAATCAGAGCTCCACAGGTCATTTGTGGATACATAGAAGAACTGCATCAATCCCTAAGGAGGCATGCAGAATGTGCATGCAGAATGAAAGCTGAAAAGAAGCATCTGGAACACAGTAAATATAACTGCAATGGGTTGAATGTGCTAGAACAGTGATTTACATACCAGTAACCTGTCCAATTTACTTAGAATTTGGTTGGTTTACATGAATTACATGAATTACAACATGAATTACAGTGTTGTCATGCATGCAATTTCCATTTTCAGTAAAATATATAAACACTTATAACAGAGGCCTTCCAAAATATAAACAAATGATACCAGTAACAAAATCCTTCTGCTTTCTCCTTCTGAAATTCTGACATCTCCACAAATATCAGTCACATTAAAAAGTTCCATCTCTATAAATACTAAGCAAATGATAGTCATTGTAGTATATGGTGAAAAGTCAAATTATTACCATATGGGTTTAACTTCATAAATATCCAGTACATGCATCCTTTTTAATTAGAGGTAAAGCGTTAGTACTCACACAAGAATGCTAGAAATTTTGACTTTTTTCCAAAATATAACTTTTCAGTATAATTCACTGTCAGATACAGCTCTTCTAAAATTTCAGTTATAAACTAAACAAAGAATGAGAAATTAAATTTTGAATCAATATTTCATTACATTATGAATTATCAAAATAATACTAAAGAATGGATGTATGTGGTTTGATTGTTTCAAAGAATTTTTCCAATAAATGAAATAGAAACTGCTCAGCTGAGACAAGTGTCTGCTTTTTTTTTTTTTTTAAAGATGTACAAATGCTGTAATTTCAACAATTATTCTACTCAACCAGCAGCTTTTCTTCTTAAGAATTCTCCTAAGCATGGTGCTATACACTTGAGAGATAAAGTTATGTAATGGATTTGATCTACCATAGAAATTATACAGCTTAAAACACACACTAATAACTGACAAATTAAACCATTGTTATTACTGTATAAAGAAATCCATATGACGTTTCCTATTTTTGACAGTTTTTCTCTGTAGTTATATTAGTTACATTGTTCATATAGAGTGATTAGAATGTTTTTTGTTTTGTTCTTGTTTTCAAATAGTTTATTAAACCATTTTATTTATAAAATGTGTGTAAAAAACACAGCTACATTTGCAAACTATTTTTTGTGGCTCCTGTTATATTCAGCATAAGTTTCAAGTCCAGTAATCACTGAAATTTTTAGTGGTAGCAGTGAAAAGAAACTGAGCTAAACAAGATTAATTCAGGAAATTATGTATAAGCAAATCAACAAGACTGTAGAGAATTCTGATTTACATATACAACAATTCACATTTTAAAAATTATGTAGTTTACTATTATATTAAAGAAAAATACAAAACCTGTATACAAGTTGTGCATTTGGAAGAATCTGCTCTAGTTTGCTTGTGTTTTTTACCCTGAAGCAGAGCGCAGCTGAAGATGGGTTGCTGGTGAAGACTTTAATAATCCCACTTGGGAATGATAATGTCATATCACCAGTAATCTTCACAATACATCTAGAAGAGAATGAAAACATCAGTTTTATTACACTTCATTTACTGTCTAGTTTTAATACTAATTTTAAATCAATCATACTTTTACAATCTGATGAGCTGATTTCAAAACAGAAAATTGGCAGACTCGGCAATGTGCACTTCCAACCCAGAAAACCAACTGTGTCTGGGACTGCATCAAGAGGTGTGATCAGCAGGTCAAGAGAGGGGATTCTGCCCCTCTACTCCACTCTTGTGAGACCCCACCTGAGTACTGCATCCAGTTCTGGGGTCCCCAACACAAGAAAGATGTGGACCTGTTGGAGTCCAGAAGAAGACATGAAGATGCTCTGAGGGCTGGAGCACCTCTGCTATGGAGATAGGCTGGAAGAGTTGGGGTTGCTCAGCCTGGAGAAGAGAAGGCTCTGGAGAGACCTTCCAGTACCTAAAGGGGACTGGTCATAAGCTTAAGTAGGGTAGGTTTAGATTAGGAAGAAATTCTTTACTGTGAGGGTGGTGAAGTACTGGAACTGGATGTCCAGAGACGTGGACTCCCCATCCCTGGAGGTGTTCAAGGCCAGGCTGTATGGGGGTCTGAGTAACCTGGTCTAGTAGAAGGTGTCCCTACACATGGCAGAGGGGTTGGAACTAGATGACCAGTTTTTTCAAATATATATAATGGCAAAAGACAATGTAGAAATAACATTGTCCCATTAAAGGATGAGGATGGTCACCTCACAAACAGGGACAGAGACAAGGCAGAGAGAGGTGTTTAATGTTTTCTTTGCCTCTTTCGTCAACACGGATGAGGGACCAAGGGGGCCTCAGTGCCCTGAGCAGGAGGACCATGAATGCGAGAATGATCAACTCCCAGTCAATACTGAACTTGTGAGGGATCTGCTGCTCCAACTGGATCCCTATAAAACAATCCATGATGATATTCTCAAAGAGCTGGTTGATGTCATTGCAAAGCCTCTCTCAATGATTTTTGAGTGGTCTTGGGAATCCAGAGAGGTCCAGGCTGAATGGAAGCTGATGAACCTTGCACCGATTTTCAAGAATGGTAAGAAGGAGGACCCCAGAAACTACAGACCTGTCAGTCTCACTTCAGTGCCCAGTAAAATCATGGAGAAAATTATTCTGGGAGGTATTGAAAAACACCTGAAAGACAACTCAGTCTTTGGTCACAGCCAGCACAGCTTCATGATAGGAAAGTCCTGCTTGTCAAACCTGATTTCCTTCTATGACAGAGTAACCCACCTAGTTGATCTAGGAAAGTCAGTAGATAAAACATTTTCAGACTTCAGCAAAACTTTTGATACTATCTCTCACAGTTTTCTTCTGGACAAAATGTCCAGCACACAGCTGGATAACCATGTTATGCATTGGGTGAGCAACAGGCTCAGGTAAAAGAGTTATAGTGAATGGGGTAACATCAGGCTGGCGACCTGTCACTAGGGGGATTCTGCAGGGGTCCATCTTAGGCCCTGTGCTCTTCAACATCTTCATTAACAACTTGGACGTAGGACTCAAAGGAATACTAAGTTTGGCGATGACACTAAATTGGGAGGAGCTGTCTACTCCCTCAAGGGCAGAGAGGGTCTGCAGAGAGACCTCAACAAATTAGAGAGATGGGCAATCACCAACTGTATGAAGTTTAACAAGGGAAAGTGCCAGATTCTGCACCTCAGACAGGGCAACCCTGGATGTACATACAGACTGGGGAATGAGATGCTGGAAAGTAGTGCTTCAGAAAGGCACCTCGGGGTCCTGGTAGATGGCAAGTTGAATATGAGTCAGCAGTGTGCCCTGGCAGCCAGGAGGGCCAACTGTGTCCTGGGGTGCATCAGGCAAAGCATCACCAGCCAGTCAAAAGAGGTGATTATCCCACTCTACTCTGCACTGGTACAGCCTCACCTCAAGTACTGTGTGCAGTTTTGATCACTGCAAGATAAGAAAGACATTAAGCTATTAGAGAGCATCCAAAGGAGGGTCACAAGGATGGTGCGGGGTCTGGAGGGGAAGGCACTGAGGGGTGGCTGAGGTCACTTGGTTTGTTCAGCCTGGAGAAGAGGAGACTGAGGGGAGACCTCATTGCAGTCTTCAACATCCTCATGAGGGGAAGCAGAGGGGCAAGTACCAATCTCTTCATTCTCATGACCAGTGACAGGACTTGAGGAAATGGCATGAAACGGAGTCAGGGGAGGTTTAGGTTGGATATCAGGAAAAGGTTTTTCACCTAGAGAGTGGCTGGGCACTGGAACAGGCTCCCCAGGGAAGTGGTCACAGCACCAAGTCTGTAAGAATTCAAGAACCATTTGAACAATGCTTTCAGGCACATGGTGGAATTATTGGGGTGTCCTGTGCAGGACCAGGAATTGGAGTCAGTGATCCTGATGGGTCCCTTCCCACTCAACATATTCTATGATTCTATGATCTTTAACATTCCTTCCAGCCCTAACAATTCCATGATTCTAAAATCAATTTCAAATGATGGCAATGTTGCACTATGACAACGTATTATCACTTTTAACTTGGAAATCAGAGGAAATAAGAAAAATGTTTAGCTGGTTAAGCATACAGTAGTATGGGTGGTTATTTTTCAGGCTTTGAAAATATGGCACAACTATGCTTAGGCAAGGCCTAAGTAGCATATCAAGCAATGTGACAGAGGGAATGAGGTACTCTTAAGCTGCCCAAATTTACATATAGCACCTACCTGACTATAATAGAAACCCTTCTCATTTTCAGTGTTCTCACTGAACACATTCTTGTAAAGCAGGGATATATGAACTGCTAGTTGGATGCAGGCCAATACAGAGTGATAAGTCACTGCTGTCACTTAGAGGAAAAAAACCCATGAATCGGCCTTCTAATGTATATGCATTTTCCTCCAAAATATTAAAAGTACAACCAGTGCATTTTTTTATTGGAACTTATTACATTCAAAACAATTTACTATTTAACTAACTTTGTGGGATCTGCTCCTTTAAAGTAGGCGTTAACAGACTCAGTAAGGGCTACTGCAACAGGCACGGTATCCTGGTTTCCAAGTCTGACAGGACTGGGACCACGTGAAACACCTAGAATACATACAGTGTATAGGTTTAATTTTCAAAAAGCTTAGCAATAGATTTCAGAATGGTTGACTACACCTGTTATTTTTACAAGGGGTTACTACCATCATGATCACAGCAGAATCTGAAGTATTACTTGAAAAGCATGTAGAAAAATATAAACATAGTATAGTACAATCACACCATCAAAACACTGCTTAACAGCCTAGAAAAACAGGACTATCAATATGACATTTTGTAAATAGGCAGACACAAGGAAATACATATGGAACATAGACATAGGAACACTGCATTAAAATGGTTACTGATGAAACTGAAGTTAACAGATCCAAAGAAAATTAGATGTTAACTACAATACTTTAAAAGAAGTCCCTACTGTATGCTTATAGTATGGAAAAATGTATGATAAAAACAGTCACAGAAATGCAAAGAATTCAGTTGAGTTACATATGAACATAAATGCAGATACATTAATATTACTCAACATAAGTGAACTGTTGAACATTCTTTTAACTATTTCAGCCAACAAAGATTACAATTCCCAAGTAGAAATTGTTGGAGAAGTATTTTGCAGTTTTTCATAGTAAACATTCTGGGAGTACCTTGGAGGTACCTGGAAATACATATCATTTTTCAAGAAAAATAATCACCAGGCCTACGTCAGCCTTCACAGATGTCTGTGCCTACACAACAAAGTTGCAATGCATAGATATAAAAAACAACTCAGACCTCAGCTAAGGCTTTTTGAAATGATTGAAGTGTCAATTGCAAATTGAGAAAACCAGTTGTCATGGGATTTTACTTTTCTGTAGTGTTTTATATGAGTACTGAATATAAAAGACAATATTTGAAGTTCTATCTTTTAGTGCGATAGTGTAGTGGAGAGTATCTTACTAATTTTTTTGTACCACTGGTGAAACAGCCTGTATCACATGCCTACTGCAAGCTCTCAGAAGGACAGGATGTCACAGAGCTGTGCCAAGGCAGACTCATGATATCTCAGGCCACAGTCCAGCTCACAGGTCTAGTTCTAGGACCTTCAGCAGCACCAGCAAAAAACCAAAGTATTTCAAGCAAAAATACATGTTATACATGTTAAACAATTTTTAAAAACCCATTGCAAATGAAAACAAGGCTAAAATAAATTCAATTATGCATGTCTACAAGTTCATTTGGAAGAAGATAATTATAGTTAACTCTCCATTATTCAGAACAAATGGGGTAAGGGAAACACTGGATTGTGCGAAAGCCAAAAGAGTACAGACAATAATGCAGAGTATATCCTCATGCCCCAAAATCATTCAGCCATCTGCACTGCCCTTTCCAGCTCTCCAGAACTATTTAATTCATACAATCACTGCAGATGAAACTGGCCTTGTTTATTTTTGCTAGGCCAGGTTAATAACCATATCAAACCCTGGTGTCAGCGCACACCTCACCTCCCCCTTTACCTCACAATTTCACTCTGTCACTGTCTCCAATAACACATACAGACCTGAGGCTATTGATGCTGTTGCCATGAATTTCTAGTTCCTTGGCACCAGTGCTGAGGCCTGAAGAGGTGAGCCTGGATGGACTCTGGCAACCAAAATATCAGTTATCTTTCTATGATGCTTCTCAGCATTTGAGAAACTGGTGGACACTGAACTGTGCCAGCATTTCAACAACTAAGGCTAGGTAGAGTTTACTAACTTTGGTCCTGCACAGGGTGGAAACAGCTGCATTGCTTTCAATGCAGAATTCCTGATAGAAGCTGTGCAGATGCTCTTCTGAGGTTCTGAGGCTGGGTGAGGAATCCTTGACATCAGTAACATTCATAACTGAGTGTTAATTCAAGAGTCTGATTTAACTTGGGACTAAAGTGGTAATAGTGTTCAGGAACGCAGTACTTCAAATCTACTACAGAAACAAGTTAAAATGTCTTAAACACACACACCTCCCCCCGCCCAAATAATCCCCCCATCCCACAAGTCTCCTTGTATTTTTTCTGAAATTAGTGGCAGCACAGGAAGACTGATTTGCTTTTCATCTTCCTCTTTATTGTTTGGTTGGTTGTTTTACTAAACATCTCTGTTTAGCTTATATACTTCAGTAACTTGAAGAAAAAGGTTCATTAGTGTCATAGTTCCGATTTTATCAAGGAATTTTTCTTTCCCTTCCCCCTGCCAGGTGTGCCCTGTGTATAGGCCATCAGGTAGCTATCAGGTGAACAAAAGAATCAGCCGGTCCACTAATGGCCGAGAGATTAGTCTCCTAGGAAACGGGCAGATGAAGGATCTAAAGTCTACTTTTTTCTCTCATCTCCGGGGCAACATGGGGGGGAGGAGGAGGAATTTTGGTGGGAGGTGTGGCTGGGGGCGGTGGGCTCTCTCTCTCTCTGCTCTGGGCTGGCAGCCGACCACCAGCTGGAAGCCTGCCCGAGTCCTTCATTGGAGTGGAGCTGCTGTGGTTTTTTTTTTCCCCTCCCCTGGAGACTTTTCTTTTTTTTTTTTTTTCCCTCCTTTGCTTTTCCCTTTCACCATTTCCCTGGGTGAGGAGCTCCCAAGGGGGAGAGAATGAGAGAAAGGACTGAGTGGAGAGGAGACTGACTAACCGGAGGAAGTAGGGTCTGCCTGGTCCCTTTCCCCCTCCCCCTTCTCCCTTTCCCGGTGTGTGGGAAGGGAAACCAAGTTCTTTTTTGTTTTTTTTTTTTCTCCGACATACCCTGGAGGGTCTTGTTTTTTCCCCTTCCCCAATCCCACGTGGCGGCGACCAGGGATCTCACAGCGCTGCCTAGTGATGGGCACCAGACATTACAAATTCTGCACCTCCAGTGATCCAACAGCGCCACCTGGTGACTACTATAGGACACTACAAGTTCTGCATCTCCAGTGACCCAACGGCGCCCCCCGTTGACTGTGGTTGGAACTGCACCAAAGGGTGAAAAAATTGAACTGTTTACTGTTTCCTTTTACTGGTTTATCGGTTTGTTCTTGAAGGGGTTATTTGTGGGTATAGGAGTGTTGTTTGGTTGTTTTACTTGTGGTTTTTTTTTTTTTTGGTGTCTCTATTAATACACACATACTTTTAATAAAGGGCTGTTATTTTTCCTTTTCCATAATTTGTTCTTCTCCTTCAATCGGAGCCTTTTAATTTTGGATTTATAATTGCTTAGAGAGAAAAGCTTGGGTCTTTTTCTCCTAACTCACCCTCAGCAAAAGACCCTTGTCTCATTTAAACTGGGACAATTAGTTTCACGTTTTTGGAAACTGCAATTACAGGATAACAAAATAATAACATAAAAATAACTCAATTTTGTGACCATTTATATTAATTCAAATTTTTCAGTATCCCAAAATACTTCTGTACATATACAATAACATCTTCTGAACAAATATATAACATTGTGCTTGATGAATAGACAGCACGCTAAAAACAAATTAATGGAATATTTTAATTTTGAAAAATATTTCACTTAGGAACATGCCCTAATTGGATCTATGGTCTAATCTAGTGAAATCCACCGTCCTGTCTCTCAGGTCATTTAGAAGTAGGTATTGCAAAGAATGCTTGAAGTACCTAGATCGAACTCACATATGGAACAACTAACTCCAAGGAATCGTTTTCCTAACAAGTGGAACTCAGTGGTAGAATGTGACCATTTCTAAAACGAATTAAAATGGTTAACTTACCAACTGTAGGTGTGTTTGCTGCACTGAGGGAAGCAGAAGAAGATATTGAGGAAATGCTCTCTGCATGTGCCAAGGGAGCTGCAGGTGGTGAACTTGAGTTAGAGGCCAACGGAGGGTTGAATGGCCTAGACTTAAGAGATTGCAAGAGTATTACAGAGACAGAAAGTGGTTTTAAAAAGATGAAAAAAGACTGTAAATAGTTCTTCATTTCATTCCCAAATCAATTCAGTAGTGTTTCTAAACATCTTTCTTTTAATGTTTTATCTATTCTAGCTTTAATGTAAAACAGACAACCCACATTTTCTATGGGAATCAATTCCATTATTTCAGACCTTATAATTATTATAATTATTAATTTTTTTTGCCTGGCTAGGTAAGTCTAATGTATTTGATTATGTAACGACCTGTCAATAATTGTGCTGTAACACAGTAGCAAAGCCTAACCCTATAGCCATGTGTATGTGTGAAGCAAATGTGGACTTTTGGAGCTAAAGGAGAGACACTAACAAAATGGAAGTGAGTCCAGCAGAGGGCAACTAAAATAGTTGAGAACTGGAGGACATGAGAGAGAAGGAGACGCTGAAGGACTTGGGTTTATTCATCCTGGAAAAGAGAAGCCTAAGAAGGGATCTACTAGCAGTCTTTCACTAGCTACAAAGAAAATGGAACCAGGCTCTATTCAGAGGTGCAAGAGCTATAAGAAAGGAAATTTCAGCTGAACATAGAGAAGAAATTCCTTCTTGTAACCTTGTGGTTTAAGTCCTGGGACAGGTTGCCCAAAGATGTTGAGAGATCTCCCTCTCTGAAGATTTTCAAAACTCAGCATGTCTCTAAGCAACCTGATGCAATTTTGAAGTTGGCCCTTCTCTGAGCAGGAGATTGGTCTAGAGGAGATCTTCATAAGTCCCTTCCACCCTAAATCATAGTTTTATGACCCATTAAACTGTTAAGATATTAATTTCAAATAACTAATGAACAATTTGGGATTAACCCATCTAAAAGGTACTGGAACTCCTGAAGCATCTGTTTTGGTTGGGTAATTTTTTTTTTTTTTTTTCTATCACACTTGCCACTGAGTATATGACTTTTATATGGATTGTGGGAATTGTAAAAGGAGGCGACATGTAATGAAGACAACTCGCAATCTTTCACTTACATCCAGATAATCGCCAATTTCTAAAACGTAACTTTTTGCAGAATCCTACTTTATAGAACAAACATACTTTATAGAACAATACCAGTTAAATTCTTCTCTTTAACTCTGATGATATCAAGAACAGATTTCTTGGTCTAAGAGAAATTACTACAATTTTATATTGGAATGAGAAAATAATCTCTAAATGAACCCTACTCTGACATTATACCATTACAGAAAAGCAAGTGTTAAACAATGTTTCAGTTTTTTTAAAGCATAAGACCAGATTTTTTTTTCCATAACAAGAATATGGTGAAAGTATCTTGCTACTTTGAAAGACAATAAGAGGATCTTACTACAGTAAAATTTTTCCAAGTAAGTAAGTCAAATGAAACTCAAAGAATCATAATATTCATAGAAGACATTAAGCATGGCTTGGTTTGATATGCTGTCTGGGTATTTGTATTCCTTATCAGCACATGGACCTGCACTGCAAGCAGTGAGTAGACATGGAAGTAGCGTGCAACCTATCACTGTCTGGATGGGCAGTTGCTGCAATCTGTCACCTCCCTTCTTGACCAACCAGCACCAAGGACAGGGTGAAGTCATAGCAAGGCTACTTGTATCAAAACATTACTGATAAAGATCTACCTAATAACACTCATTCCCCAAAGCTTTGGTGATATCCCTAAATCAATTGAGTTTTGTTAATTATTTCACTAATATTTCATATTTTGAAAATTTTAATCCTACACATATGTTAACCTTTAATTTTCAAACTATTGATTTGTTGAATTAGAAACATTCGGTCGATGCAAAATTTATGTTTTGGACCTTTTTAGTTCAGTTAAGAATTATTACGTTATAGTAACATGTTTATTGTGAACAACTTCATGCCTATCTGGCAATAGTGAAAATCTGAGTATGTGATTCCCTGAACATTACCTAGAAAGTAACTCCACTGTAACAGTGTGTAGTGGTTTAACCCCATCTGGCAACTAAGTACCACACAGCTACTTGCTCCCTCATCCCCCCTGCCCCCAGTGGGGAGGAGAATCAGAAAGGAAAGGTAAGCCTCAGGGGTTGAGATAAGAATTTATAGGGTTTGTGTGACAAGGTTTTGGTAGCGGAAGGAGGGGGGGGGCTACAGGGGTGGCTTCTAGTGAGAAGCTGCTGGAAGCTTCCCCCATGTCTGACAATGTCAGCCGGCTGCAAGACAGACACACCTCTGGGCAAGGCTGAGCCAATCAGAGATGGTAGTAACACCTCTGCGATAACATATTTAAGAAGGGAAAAAGTTATTGTGCAGAAGAAAATTGCAGCCAGAGAAGAGAGGAGTGAGAATACGTGAGAGAAACAACTCTGCAGACACCAAGGTCAGTGAAGAAAGAGGGGGAGGAGGTGTTCCAGGTACAGGAGCTGAGATTCCCCTGCAACCTGTGGTGCAGGCCATGGTGAAGCAGGCTGTCCCCCTGCAGTCCATGGAGGTCCATGGTGGAGCAGAGATCCACCTGCAGCCCACAGAGGACCCCAGGTCAAAGCAGGTAGATGGCAGAAGGAAGCTGTGACCCTGTGGGAAGCTCACACCGGAGCAGGCTCCTGATAGGACCTGTGGCCGCATGGAGAGAAGGAGTCCATGCTGGAGTAGCTTTGCTGGCAGGACTTGTGACACTGTGGAGGACCCATGCTGGAGCAGCCTGTTCCTGAATGACTGCACCCTGTGGAAAGGGACCCATGCTGGAGCAGGGGAAGGAGTCCTCCCCATGAGGGGGAAGGAGAGGCATAAACAACATGTGATGACCTAATCATAACCCCCATTACCTGTCCCCTTGTGCTGTTGGGGGAGAGGAGTTGGAGATTGGGGAATAAAGTTAAGCCCAGGGAGGAGGGAGGGGTGGGGGGAAGGTGTTTTTAATATTTGTTTTACTTATTATCCTGCTCTGATTGGATTGGTAATACATTCAATTACTTTCTCAAAGCAGAGTCTGTTTTGCCTGTGATGGTAATTGGTGAATGATCTCTCCCTGTCCGTATCTCAACTCATGAGCCTTTCATTATATTTTCTCTCCCCTTTCCAGTTAAGGAGGGGAGTGATAGAGAGGCTTTGGTGGGCACCTGGTATCCAGCCAGAGTCAATCCACCACAAAGAACAATTTATTAATTGAAAAAAAAACCCCAAAGATAAAAACAATATAATAATAATAATAATAGTAAGACAGGGGAGGAGAGAGAGAGTAACAGAAGCCAAGAGAAACAAGTGATGCACAATACAGTTGCTCACCACTCACTGATTGATGCCCAGCCCAACCCCAAGCAGTGATCGACCCCTCCCAGCCAACTCTCCCCAGTTTATATACTGGGCATGACATTCTATGGTGTGGAATATCCCTTTGACCAGTTCGGGTGAGCTGTCCCAGCTGTGCTCCTTCCCAGCTTCTTGTGCAGCTCCTCACTGGCAGAACATGAGACACTGAAAAGCCCTTGACTCAGGGTAAGCATGGCTCAGCAACAACCAAAACATCAATGTGTGTAACAACCAGATAATATAGAAATGCCAAAAATAATGTTCCTCCATTGTTTCTCCCTGTCAAAACTTCCTGCCAAAAATTCTCTGTCAGCTTTCTGCCAGAAGTTCTCACCAGAGCTTCCTGCTGGAGTTTTCCTGCCAAAAGATCCTTCTATTGTTTATGGTTATCGTGTCTCTTCAAACATCTGAATAGGACTACGTGCCAAGAAACCATGTCCTTTGAACACTATAAAAGTTGAGGAAAAGTTTTGGAAAATCAGAGAGAGGAAAGGGAGAGAGAACTCTTTACCATAGCTGAGAATCTCTTCCCACCTCCCCCTCACCTTTTCTTCGCCACTGCATGTTGCCTGCCTGCCACCAGAGACTGGAACTCTGCTGGCCTGGAGAAGAACTGAGACCCACTGTGCCACATGCGTGAGTTATACCTTATCCTTCTATCCTGACCATATTTCTGATGGCTGAAAGGTGTTGCTGAATTGGGACCCTGCACGGTTTGGGACATGGTTCAAGGTGAGGAGTGAAGCCACACATCCTGGCTGCATTCCAGAGTACTAAAGCTGCTAAGACACCAACCCACCCCCTCCTCCCATCACCCCCCCTCCCCTCGGCTAAAGAGATAACATCAAAAAGCAGCAGAGACAGTAAAAAAAAGGCAGAAACTGATTCTCCACACACACACACACCAGCTCGGAGGAAAAGTAGTTTTGGTGGTATCTTTCCTATGCTTCTAGAAGTAATCTTAGCTTTTTCCAACCTTTTCTTATTTTTTCCTCCATCTCTTTGCATCTCTTAGTAATTAATAAAATTAGTTTTTGGTATCAACAGATAACTTGTGTGAGTTTTAATTTTGCTCAGGGGAATATTCGAATCTGAAGTTCTTTCTGCAACATTTAAGCAGATTGTAACAGTGTGTTACCAGCATTATTCTCCTAGGGAATCCAAAACAGCACCGTGCCAGCTACTGAGAAGAAAATGAACTCTGATCCCATCTGAAACCAGGACACCGTGTAAATTATATATATGAAATTGAGTACAATGGAGAATTAAAAAACCCAACAATCAATACATACTATTTCATTAATTCCACTAAGTTTCCCTGTAGACAATTTTGGTGTTGAAGTAGGCCTTGGAGGGGGTACAATGGTGCCTACAGAAAGATGATTTATGGGTCTTGCTGAAAGAAAGCAAATTTAAGAAAATCAATATTAGAAAAGTCATACAAATATGTACTCACTTGAACAGAATAACTGGAAATTATGCTTCTATTAAAAGTTCCTATTTTACAAGCTCCATTTTGTAAAATTTACCACTAATCATAAATGTTTTTAAAATAGGACCATGTGATACCCTGAAAAATGACTCTAAAAATGGCATCATGAGTTTCCTCATTCCTCTTGAATGATTTTATACCAACTATTCTCAAAGGTTTGAGCTTAAAAAGATGGTTTTACTCAAGTTCCCTTTTGTGTATAGTCTATATGGATTCAGAATACGGGACAGTCTTTCATGTCTAACCACAAATGGATAATTCAGTGGAAAGTCATAATTGGTTCTGGCTGACAATAGCATAACTGTTTACATCAAATTATACCCTCTGAAATCCCACTGACTTCAATAAGTATACACCAGTATAACACATAAATTACTCTGTTGACTGCAGGAACACAGTAACTCCATGTTATCTCTTAACCAAGCTATGAGAAGTCAAAAGCAGTTAAAAAAATACTGCCCTCATATCCTTCTAAACCTAATAGACACAACTAACAGATAGTGGTAACAGTACAAAGATGCTACTTTTACATAGTTACTTTTCCAAATAGAACTATACTTCAAAATAAATGTTAGATACCAGCCAATGAGTATGACAGATCTAAAATTAACTTCAAAATAGACTGAAACCCTAATATATGACTATGTCATTGGAGCACATTCTATCATCTCCCTCAAATTATTGTGGATGGTTCTTCTTTAATCAAATCAATTAATTTTATTTAAAAATATAACTTTTAAGTGTGGCATTTTCTTAGGAATTCAGCATAACTCTGCCTTAATTCAAGTATTGTAGTTTTATCACTTACTTGGGAAGAAACAAATTAGGCTAATACTGACCATATCCACCTTAAGAGTTGCAAACTCAAATGTTCCCTTCTGAAATGTCAGTCATTCCTTTAAAATTCTTCTTATGCCCAGGAAGACAGTGCATGCTAAACATTAAGTAGTCTGATGCAGTATCACAGGTATTTAGTGAGTTATGGCCCACTTGCCCAAATGCACTTTGCCCTATAAGTATGTAACATTACCACAATATCATCCACACTTCAAAATACTGTGTGTTAAAAAGGAATAGTTTCAAATCCCAATTATTTAACTTTATTTAATCTGAAAACATCTATACATTCCTATTTCTACAAAAGCAAAGCTCTCAACAGTTGAGAAAAAACAATGCTTGTAATTAGTTTGAATTTTTTTATTTCAAGCAGCATATTTATTTCATTGTGCTTACTTTAAATGAAGTTGGTTCTAACAAGCAGTTTAGTACATTCTAAGTAAGAATCATGGAATCATTTAGGTTGAAAAATACCTCCAAGATCATCAAGTCCAACCATTAACCTAGAACTGCCAAGTCCACCACTAAACCATGTCCCCAGGTGCCACATCTACATGGTTTTTAAATCCCTCCAGGGATGATGACTCCACCACTGCCCGGAGCAGCCTGTCCCAATGCTTGACAACCCTTTCAGTGAAGACATTTTTCCTAATATCCAACCTAAACATCCCCTGGTGCAACTTGAGGTCATTTCCTCTTGTCCTGTCACTTGTTACCTGGGAGAAGAGACCAACCCCCTCTATGAAGCCTTCCTACCCTCTAGCAGGTCAACACTCCCACCCAACTTGGTGTTGTCTGCAAACTTGCTGAGGGCACACTTGGTCCCCTTGTCCAAATCATTGATAAGGATATTAAACAGAACTGGCCCCAATACTGAGCCCTGGGGAATTCCACTTGTGACCGGTCACCAGTTGGATGCAGCACCATTCACCACCTGTCCAAGACATGGGCTGCAGTTTCTCCAGGAGAATTCTGTGGTAAACAGTGTCAAAGGCTTTACTGAAGCCCAGATAGACAACATACACAGCCTTTCCCTCATGCACTAAGCAGATCACCTTCCCTTAAAAAGAGATCAGGTTAGTCAAGCAGGTCCTGCCTTTCATAAACCCATACTGGCTGGGCCTGATCCCCTGGTTGTCCTGCATGTGCCACATGATGGCACTCAATATAATCTGCTCCATAACCTTCCCTGGCACTGAGGTCAGACTGACTGGCCTGTAGTTTCCCGGATCCTCCTTCTGGCCCCTCTTTAGATGGGCATCACATTTGGTAACTTCCAATTAACTAATGACCTCCCCAGTTGACCAGAACTGCTCATAAATGTTTGAAAGTGGCTTGGTGAGCTCTTCTGCCAGCTCCCTCTACCCTTGGGTAGATCCCATCTGGTCCTATAGACTTATGTGGGTCTAAGTGGCATAGCAATTCACTGACCATATCCCCATGGATTATGGGGGCTGTCTCTGTCTTCCAGCTCAGGGTTCTGGGTACCCTGAGAACAATTGGTCCTGTAATTAAATATATATATATATGTATATATAAAATTTATCCTTAAATATGTTACAAATGTGGATCCAGTAGCCATCTTATCTGGATATCTAATTGAGAAAGAGACAATCTAATGAATTCTGTAATCTAGATTTGTTATAAAACATAACTTTTAAGGAATATGAAGTGGAGGAATAATAAGTTGCCCTTAAAACCCTAATGGTTACATAGCAATGTTGGTTGCTACTAAAAAGACATTACTAAAGCCAAGAAGAATTAGCACTAGTTGAACAAAATTCTCCTATTGTATTCTTTCTCACTCATATTCAATTTGTATGAGCAGGTACAGATGAAAACAGAAAGCCATGACTGTGAACAAAGAAGTAAGGTCTATAATAATTTTTGGTAAAGGAATACCCAGTTGCCTACCTCAACAGGCTTTCCTGGAAAGAAGAAACCTACCCCTATTCACAGTGCCAGTTCAGCATCTATATCAGGTGCTATGACAACCTCCACTTAATTTACCAACTTTGTAAAAATAGGATTCTATTATTCCTCCAGCATAGATGATCATTTTTTGTAATGAGAGAAAAAAAAGACAAAAGCAAGATAGAATTTTCCTAAGGTTTCTAGTGTTCCCTCTTCCCCCTTGCTCCCTAGCTTGAAAACCTGACATAGTGCACTCAAAGTTGTGTATTACTCATAACATAGGATACTGCTTTACAAAATCCCTTCATTTCAATAGTCAAAGCACATCTCCTTGCAATGACTAAAAAAGCAACAACAGAACATCCTGAAGAATATGCAAAAAACATTTTCTGCTATCAAATATTTTACCTGAGGAGGATAAGGATACTATGGAGGCTGAAGAGGAAGATTCAAGAGAACTGCTTAAGAGTGGATCCCATGCCAGAAGGTCACTGTTTCCCTTTCTACAGTAAGCATTGCAATTAGAATATTAACAAAATATGTATATAAACATACAATTACAACTTTGGTAAATCATCTTCTGTATTAGCCTTTGCATCTCAAAATTAATAGTACTTACAAATTGCAGGTCAAGGAACTGATTTACACGTAAAGAAACTATCTGAACTGATAATCAGTGCAAGTTTGTGTATGGACATATTGCATAATGTCAGTAAATTATTTTAATTTTCAACAAGACATACATCTACAAATCAATTTGTTTCAGTATATACATATATGAGCAATGCCCAAATTTGAGACTTGTAATCCTAAACACTTGACAATGGAACACTGTAAATATGATGAAAACTAAATCCCTCTTATTGAAATCCTGAAATTTTAATAAAAACCAATATTTTGTAATCCCATAATTAGAAACATGAATGAAGCAAATACATTAGAAGGGGAAAACGAGTGAATAGAAATCTCCATTGTTATGTAATTACTCATTAACTCTTACAATACAATAAACACCTGACTTAAAATAGCAGTCAACTGATATTTCCAATAACTCTCAGAGTCTTAGATTAAAATAAGACCAAATTCCCCCAAAACTCCACTTTATATAATTTTAAAAGTTGAACTTACTCATTAGCTGGAGTAGAAAGCTTTGATTTTGTTAACTCTTCACCTAAGGAAAAGACACAGCATTATCACCACTAAAATAAAAATCTTTTAGCTTCATTATAAAAAAATAGTAAATGTTATAGTCCTAGTTCAAAACTAATTATGAATTATTAAAATGGAAAAGAGAAAATGCATTATCTCTGATAATATAAATTCAGATGCTCCTGAAATACGTTCTAAAAGGAGAGGACTGAACAGAACATGATAAAGGGTTGATCAAAATATAAAGCAGTGGTACAGGATTATGGCCTTAGTTGCTTATTAGCTAATTTTTAGATAGAGCCTTGCTTGCTTATGCTAACTCACAGGCAGGATATAGTTAATTTTATAATGAAGACTTTAGCAGGAACAGAAAACCTTAGAGTTTAGATAAGGGGCTTTGAAGGTCATGAGAAAAAGACCTTGAAAGTTGATAAAGAGAAGCATCTGTAGAAGATACCAGTTTTGAGTTAATTGAACAGTGCCAACTCAGCAATTCTTAGCAAAGGTGAAAAGTTCAAGCTGAGGAAGACTTCTTACTTCATCCAAAAGACCCCCAAAGACCCCCGAAAGAAAACCCAAGGGGGCGTTCCAAGGTGGAGTTATAGGAGTGGTGTATGTTAATAATTTCCCCTCCCACTTTTCTGGAATTTGCTGACACAACTAATGCACATGTAACACAACTAATGTGTATGTAATACTACTAATGCATATGTAACATTATACTGCATAAAAATTGCTGAACAAAGGCAATGGGTGTGCGTGATTGGAGGAATTATCCCCCGTGCACCCGATGCTGTGAATAAACATACCTGCTGCAATACTCTTTGTGAGTTTTGGGGTCTGTTTCCACAAGTCAAGCAATACATTTCAGGAGGAAGTGTTGATCACTTGAAATTTCTTCCTTAAATTACACTGTTTGCACCAATATTATTCTTCAGGAAACCTGGATTGGGTTCCCACTGAGAAAACCACTAAAATAATAATGGCCAGTCTTCGCGAGCGAAGATCCGGGGAAGGTCTTTACACCTTCCAGCCTGCGCATTGGATTTTTTTTAGGTGAGACACAGTGTGCGCGGAACTGAGCCCACCCTTTAATCCTAAGGTTCATCTGCCGGGGCCAAGCGAGCTTGGACGGTGGCAGCGAGGTCCTTAGGACGTAGATGGTTTTGCCTTTAAGGCTAACGAGCTCCATCTGCCCGGGAGTGGCCCTGACCGGGAATCGAACCCGGGTCTCGGCTGTGACAGCGCTGCGCCCTTACCACTAGACCACCAGAACCACTAAAGGATAGAGACTAATGCTCTGTCCTCGATCTCCACGGCCAATATTTTATGGTTTTGACTATAAAACAGAGAGAGAGTGCTCTGCTGTTTTGTGGGTGATACTCAACTTGTGCAGGTGGAAGGGTTTTAACAACTTACACAAGAGTAATTTCTACAGATATCCCCACTCCCCCCTCTTTGGCTCTTGGACTTGTTCCTCATCACTGTCACAGACAGACTCATCAGTTTCTCAGAACAGGGAACAGCTGAGTATACAGAAAAAGAAGAGGCCTTTGGGTGGCTTCTACTAGCTACTTTGAAATTTTGACCAAATAACTTATTTTGTCTGTTTAATTTATTGTTAGTAGTTCAAATGCAAATATCATAAACATACCTAGAATTGACAAGAGAAATACTTTTTCTACTTAGAAATAATAAGTTTATTTTTTCAACAATAAATAAATATTTTCATGTCATGTTAAAAAAAACTAATGTAAATAGACTAAAAGTTAAATATTCACACTTACTGGCTGCATTTTGATTAGTTTGTGCCTGAAACAGAAAAGAATAAATTATTTTATGAACTGTCAAATAAAATACTTAATAGTCCCAGGGTTCTTATTTCCATTCAATTTTCCATGTTATTTTGCTCTGAATTCCAGGTAGACCATTTTGGAACTTGCAGGAGACCAGAATGTGAGCCAGGACAGAGCAACTAGTGCATACCCACAACACCAGTTAGAAAAGGCAGGAACGAAGACTGCAGAGCTGACAAAAGCAACAGTACGACTAAACCCCTTGACAGGCTGGGCCAGTAAAATTAAACAGCTTTTATATCACATAGTATGCTTGTAAGAATAGAAACATTCCTAAGTTTTTCCCAATAACTTTCTCACGTATTACACTTACTTGGTGTTAATCTAAAAACGTGAATAAAAAGCCATTCTATACTTACAGAACTCTGTTTCTTCTTTCATAATGTGGGGGGAAAAAAGAGAAAAATAATCATTACTATTTTAATATGCATAATATTTTCCATACAATCAGAACCATCTATATTGTGATGTGAATAATGTACTAGCATACTTTAACACTATTTATTTGCAATATGATCCCACAGTATAAAGGATCATTCTGTGATTTGACAGAATACATACAATAAAGCTGCACTGTAAAAGATGTGTCCACATTATATGATCTGTTTTGTATATTACTGAATACGAATTAGTAAACTATGCTTAAAGCTATGCTCAGCTTACTCCATGTATTCAAATGTCTTGTGGTAGCAACAGCAAAGACAAGGACTAAGCACTCCCAAGACTCAAAGTTAAAATCTGAGAAGGGGGAATTGCTTAACATCAAATTGCAATAAAATGTATCAAAGATGGCATAGTACACACAAAAAAAATTGTTGAACTTGAATCTAGAATAAATTCTGAACAGTAAAATATATGTAACACTAAAGATTCTTTACCACTTTTCTTCTATACTCATTAAAAATACAAAGAACAAAAATACTTACAGATATTGCTGGAGAAAGAGCAATGTTCCCTATAGATACTTTTAATTCATCCAAGGAAGGCACGGTATATTGAGACCTATCATTTGTTTGGACAGGTTTTATTTCTACATGGAACCTCCTGGGTTCATCATCTTCAGAGTCAGAATCACTGGATGAATAGAAATGGTTCTTTTTGGTATGTTTTTCTTAGTTAAGGTAGAAGCACTTCAAATTCATCTGTCTACTGTTTCACAATTAGTGTCTACAAAATGGTCATATTAAGTAAACACCACAGATAAACAATGCTGCCTAAGCTCTTTGTGCACTTATACAGACACTTCTATTATATCCACTGTTCAAAATTCACAACTCATAGTTAAAATTTAGTTTTTATAATCCATTCATCTTCATAATGGTATTCTGTTATCCAAGGCACAATATTATCTGAATGACTGTATATTTGAAAGTATTAGGAAAAATGATTATACAGTAGCAACACTTCTGTATGTTAAATTTATGATTTGCAAGAATAAATAAAGGATCATAATGCATATATGAAAAATGTATGCATTGTAAAAATCCTTTTAAACCAAGTGAGGGAAAGTCATAACCTTTCTAATTAGCAATGAAATGCTCATGGTACTTGTACCAAGCTTAACAGTAGAGAAAGCAGCATCCACCATTACTTGCCCTTCTTATAGAGGCACTAAAAATTTTGCAACAAAGGATGCCAGTTACACAGAAGGCTGCACAGTAAACTAAACCCCACCAGTCACTTAGAGCACTGTCATCCTTGGATAAAAAGGAATTACAATGACAACTCAGACCTCAAAATAAGAAAAATATACAGATGAATTTAGCCTTGGTCCTTTATATGCACAGCAACTGCACTCAACAAAAGCTCTGAAATGCCTATGCTAAGTCTTAAAAGATGCAGCTGTTGACAAGAAACAAGTTATAATTTTTCCTCTGCTGAAACAGAAGTATCTTGCCACCTAGGGGGAGCATACATATTCTATACCTCACTTCTGTTATTTTCACTTGGAAATATGCCAGCCATTAGAACGAAATCCCTTCAAAATACCCCCTGACAAAAATTAAACCCCTGAACCCTAGAAACATTCCAAATCCAATTCAACTGAAAGAAACCCAGAGATGTGGTAAGAATAAAGTCAAATGTCTTCATCTTACAGGCTATCTGTCCCACAAAATGGATCACAACTGGAAAAATAAATTTTAAAAGACAAGTAATTTTTCATTTCACCAAAAGATTTCTTGCCCTGAAAGCTATCACCGAGTTTCAAGATTCATTTCCTACGAATCAGGTAGCTCTTATAAGGTGGCATGAGCTGGCCACTGAGGTATTAAGTCTATTACACAGTTACTGACAAAGATCAGTTTAGACCTGAATGCCATGAACTGAAAGGTCAGTCAGCAATTTTTAGGATGAGTGTTTTTTCAACAGTTAAGACTCGTCTTATTAAGATTGACTACCGTTGTGGTAAAATAATGTCCTTCAACAAATCATCTCAAGAGTTCCCATCAAAAGAATAAATATCCACTCTTGGAGGCTAAGAGAGGAAAAGAGGAAGAAAACTGATGATTTTGTCAATCTATTCAAGATTTTCAGAAGCTGAAGTACTACCTGGCTGACAGGAATTGCAAACCACTGAGCTTTTTCACTGGATCTATGGCCTTTTCCATTGCTTTGTGACAAAAAGGATACTGGATACAAGGATGTTCAGGTGAATCAATTAAAAAGCATGAGTGTTACTCACTCCTGGTTCCATTCCATAAAAATATGCAAACCATGAAATAATGTACCCCTCCAGAACTGGATAAAAGTCTTTTGCTTTTATACCAATGTTACGACCTGTCCTGCCAGGCAGGAGTAACTTTTGTTTTATTAATAAATCCCTTGGGGTGAATTAAAGTAAATCGATACCACATGATCAGTGTTTACAGATATATATATATATATGGGTTATTTTAGAACAATTTGGTTGCAAAAGAAAACAGGTATGCAACTGTTTTGGTTGTTATTATCTATAATGACATGACAATATAAAAGCATAAAGGCATTGCAAAGGAAAACAGGTATTATGTAATATAGCAATATAAAAGCATAAAGATATCACCCAAGAAAATATGTAAGGGAAAAGAGAGAAAGAGAGAGAGAAAAGAATAAAAGGGAAAAGAGAGAAGGGAAGAGAGAGAAAAAGTAAGCGTTTATAGTCACCACTCAAAGGTCTCCAGTGAACTTGGTTGCTGTTGTCATTGCTGGTGTCCTGGTCCATCAATGAGTGGTGGGGGAGAGAAGCCCATGAATCATAAAATTCGGTGGGTTTATATACCTTCAGAAACCGTCCTGGTGCCTCCCCATGTGTGTGTAGTAGGGGCTGTTTTGATCACACACCCAGAGTCACTGCTGATCTTCTTTAGATAGGCATCACACACCTAGAGAAGCATCACACACCCAAAGAGTGGTCCTCTGGGCCTTCAAAGTTAACAATTTGTGGGCTATGGCCTCCTCCCCTCAGCCTTTATCTTCACTCTCCTGGTTTCTTTGCACAGCTCACTATAGTAGCAATGTTTTAAGGCAATTAAAAAAGTCCAGTTCCTCACAAGCAATTATGTAAATAAGAGATAACATGAACTATTTTTCAGTACAGGAACCTTCTGTAACACACAGATAATATAGAAATGCCAACAATTATGTTTCATCATTGTTCTGCTCATCAAAAACTTCCTACCAAAAATTCTCTGTCAGCTCTGCCAGAAGTTCTCACTAGGACATCTCACGGGACTTTTCCTGTCAAAAGATCCTGCCATTGTTTAGGGTTATCATATCTCCTCAAACATGTGAACCGGCTACATGACAAGAAACCACGTACAACCTCCTTTGAACACTATAAAACTCGAGGACAAATTTTGGAAAATCAGAGAAGAGGAAAGGGAGAGAGAACTGGTTGCCCCAGGAACCTCTCCTCACCTCCCCTCACCTTTTCTCCACCACCACGTGCTGCCTGCCTGCAACGGGAGACTGAGACTCTGCCGGTCTGGAGAGAACTGAGACCACCGTGCCACATGTGTGAGTTATATCTTATCCTTCCAGCCTCACTATATTTCTGAGCACCAGGGAACTGTGGCTGAACTGGGACCCTGCACGGCCTTGGACACGGCTCAGTGTGAGCAAGGAAACCACACATCCTGCATTCCAGAGAACTAAAGCTGTTAAACCCCCTGCAGGTAATAACATCGAAAAAGCAGCAGAGAGAGAGAAAAAAAAAAAAAAAAGGCAGAAAACTGTTTCTCCCTCCCCCCCCCTTGCACCAGCACAGCAGAAAGGTAGTTTTCGATGGTATCTTTTCTCTGCTTCTAAAAAATAATCTTAGCATTTTCCAATATTTTCTTATTTTTTCCTCTCTATCTTTGCATCACTTAGCAATTAAATAAAAATCAGGTTTGGGCATCAACAGATAACTTGTGTGAGTTTCAATTTTGCTCAAGGGAATATTCGAATCTCAAGTTCTTTCTGCAATATTTAAGCAGATTGTAACATTTTCTAAATTGGCGTCATGGGACAAGATACCCTTGAAGCAAAACTGATCATTCCAAAACCTGATAATTGCTAATTTTTATGATCGATCATTTTGTGATAGACAAACAGAATAAGGTACCTTTGTTTTTGACTTTATGACTGCGTGACTTTAGGACTTTGACTTTGCAAGCTTTTGTTAGTATGTTTGTTTTTGGTTTTCTCTTGTTTTTGAAGCTAATGTGCACATTGTAATTTTAAGAGGTACCTCTCCAGAGGAAGGACTTTGGAAATTTGCTGTAACTTTCAAGGGGGGCTCTCTGGGGAAGATCACTCTGAACTTGTGATATAACTTAATGCTTTCCAGGGAGAAAGGGGTGAAAATTTGGAAATTACTTTTACGAGGTGCCCCCTGGATAAGCACACCCCACTTTTAGCTGTAATATAACTTTTAAGAGGGGCCTTTCCAGGGAGAGGAGTGAAGAACTTTGGAAATTTGCTGTAACTTTCAAGAGGTAACCTCTGCAAACGTATTCACTGCCAATTTGTGGTACCCTGGAACATAATGCGCAAGCACTTACAAATCTATTAGATGAATTTGGTGCCAGACCACCTCCTCCAGGAGTGGAATGGGCACAAGATCATTGGTATAATATTCAAGTAATTGTTGATCGAATCTCTACCCTGCGGGCAGGGGCGAGAGTCAAAAAGGGTAAAGGAAAACCTATTGTTTGTTCATTATTAGGTGCAGCTGTAATAAGTGCAATTAACAACAAAGAACAGCAGCTAAAATATCATATGGAAGTTGTCACTTCCCTGCAGCTGGAGGAACGAGAGACTACTGTCAATGTCCTCCAGGAAGAGATAAGGAATGAAAGGGCTACCGACTGTGTGCTCTGAGAGGAGTTGTATGCAAGATTAATGAGAGAAGGGAAAACAGAGTCGGAGCTACAGTCATCTAAAGAAACATCCCCCCTCTCTGACTTCAAGCCTTTGCAGGACGAAGTGGAAAAGCTGTTGGTGTTGCTCCGTCTCCTAATTAAAACAGAATACACAGATGAGCGCTGTCTCAGTTTAAATGAGACACAGGTGTTTTGCTGACGATGAGTTATGAGGAAGACCCAAACTCCTCCCTCTAAGCAATTGTAAATCCAAGATTAAGAGGCTCCCATTGAGGGGGAAAAAAAATGTGGGAAAAGGAAAAATAACAGCCCTGTAGTAAAAGATATATGTGTATTGGTAGTAACAATGAAAGAAAACAAGTAAAACAACCAAACAATACTCCTATACCCACAAATAATCCCCTTCAAAACAAACCAATAAACAAACACAGGGAAAAAAAGGTAAACAGTTCAGTTTGTACCCTTTGACCCTTTGGTGCAATTCTAACCACAGTCACCAGGGGGTGATGTTGGATCACTGGAAATGTAGAGCCTGCAGTGGTTTGTGCTGGTCAGCAAGGGGCGCTGTGGGATCACTGGTTGTTGCCATGTGGGGTGACACCCTCCGGGGTATGTTGGAGAAACCGAAAATGGGTTTCCCTTCCTCCCCCCACACACACACACAAGCTCTGGGAAAGGGGAGAAAGGAGGGAGTAAAAAGAAGCTCCTCACCCTCCCCCAAAAGCAAGATTCTGAGGACCATTACCTAGGAATGTGGCCTTACCAGTAGCTTCTTTTGTGTTTCTTAACTGCCCATTTAACATCCCTCCACGCAGTGGATTCCTGCTTAGGTTCTAAGAACCAGTAAACCCATGACAAGGGTTTGGATGAGGATACACCTCAAATAACTACAAAAGAGGTTCCTTAGACCTAGACTGAACTAGCTAAGTTAAAAAAGGAATATAGCTAAGTTAAAAAAGGAATATAGCAGAGTCCCTCCAGAATCTATGTTTGGAGAGTCTCTCTTACTGGAGGTGACCAAATGTTGTTATCAGAAAAAGAGGCTGAAGGGTTCTGGGGAGCCGGAGTTTCCCTGACCACAGGAGATTATCCTGCCCCCTGGTCCCTTCCCCAAAGAGCAGCCTATTGGGCAGGGGGACTCAACTCCTGGAAAGGGGAGACCCCCTGGCTGCAGTGGGAAATGTTCATCAGATTGTGGAATGTGTGCAAAAGGCTGCTTGTTTACAAATGATGGGTGATAGGGAATGAACACCAAGCCCTGAATCCCCTGTGATGCTGCCTGCAGACCCTGAAAGAATGATTGCCCTTCTCAGAGGTCTACCTGAGGCTGTGAAATCCATTGGCATTCAGTTCAAAGGAAAAATAGAAAACCTCACCAAAGGGGAAAGAACTGCAGCCACCTCAGAAGTAGCTTTAACCCCCTGGTCGTCACTGCGGAGAAAATAAGATTTGGACCTAGGGGAAGGTGGCAAAGGAATTAATTAATTAGGGAAGAAAATATGGTCCAGGACCTTCAATTACTACTGATTCTAAATCAATTGGGCACAGAATGCAAAGCAATTATTCCTCCAGCAAGACTGTGAAAGGTAACATTCTGCCCTGGACAAGGAGTACCCACAAACACTGGAGGACACAGGGGAAAAAGGAATACCCTATGGATTGAAGGCTTGCAAAAAGAAATCCCAAAATCCCTAAGGGATGGCCAACCAACAGATAAATTAGAGATATTAATTCAAGAGTGGTCAGCAAAGGAGGGATCCCTGAAAGCTGCCCCTGCTACAGCCCCTCCCCTGGAGGGATCACAGAAAGTGGAGGTAACAGGAAACTCCTCTCTTCGTCCCCAGGAGCTGAGCCTGAGCCGGGGAAGGGGGGGGGGCAAAGGTTGGTTTGAAATTGGACAGCTTACCAAAAATTCCAAAGGACACTTGTTAACCTGTTGATCCCCACAAAACCCCTGTCACTTTTCTAGTAGACCCTGGAGCTCAAGTGACTGCCCTGAAAATTGAAGTTGCATCTCCATGTGGAATCACTCCCTCCCGTAAAGGCATATTTGTTGTGGATGCTTTTGGAAACATACAACCCCAGGTAACAGCAAAGGTAAGATACCAGGGGAGGAGAAAGCAGGTGAAACCCTAATGATTTTGGGTAAACTTCCTGATAATTTACTGGGCCTAGACCTCCTGAAGGGAAGGTCTTGGACTGATGAGGAAGGAAACATATGGGCTTTTGGAAAAGAAATCCCACATCTGTGTTTACTAAGTCAGTCCCACTCCTGCTCTTCCTCCGTCTCTAGTAACCAATGTCAAACCTTACCCCTTACCCTTGGGAGCCAGAGAAGGAATCACTCCAGTTATTGAAGATTTAAAAGAAAAAGGAATAGTGATTTCAACATGTTCTCCTTATAATTCTCCTATGTGGCCCAGTGAGCTACTGTTGGGAAATGGAATGATCAAATTGAAACTTTATTGCACCATTTTTCAGGTAACAGAAGGAGCGCCCAAAAATCTTCCCTTACAAGATGAGGTAACTTTACATAGCACAGCTGATTCTCCCCCTTCTGTGGTTCAATTTGCACCCCCACACTCAGAGCAATTGCAGAATGTGTGGTTTACTGATGCCTCAGCAAAGCAGGAAGGTAAAGTTTGGAAATATGCTGTAGCTTTACAGGTACATACAGGCAACAAAATAGTCCCCGAAGGAGAAGGCAGTGCACAGGCAGGAGAATTAGTAGCAGTTTGGAGTGTATTTAACCATGAAGCTGAAACCTCTGACTGTATATGTTTACATGGGTTCTTTTGCTGTGTTCAAAGGGTGTACTGACTGGCTCCCCTTCTGGGACAAAAATGACTGGGAAGTGAATAGAGTGCTTGTTTGGCAAAAAGAGAAATGGTAAGAAATCCTTGCTATAGCAAAGAAAAGGAACTTTGTAGTTGGATGGGCAGCCTCCCATCAGGAAAATGAAACTCCAGCTGGCCGCTGGAACAACAAAGTAGATGAACTGGCCAGATTAGCCCCTCTAAGTGTAAAAACTCCTGCAGAGAGCTGGGACAGACTGTTAGAATGGTTGCATTTAAAGCGACAGCACACAGGGGCACAAGACCTATCCAGAGCAGCAGGAAGCAGGGGATGGGCAGTGACTCGAGAAATGTGCTGCACCTGCAGGTCCTCATGTGAACAGTGCAGAACCCGACTCGAGCCTCACCCTTTAGAACAACCCCTGTTACAAATAAGAGACAGAAAAGGGCTGTGGGACATGTGGCAGACAGACTAGACTGGACCCTTTAGAAAGTCTGAGGGAAAACAGTATGTGTTAGTAGGAGTGGAAGTTAGGTCAGGATTAGTGCAAGCAGAAGCTTTCTCTCAGGCAAACAGTACAAACACCCTAGAAGCTCTTAAAATGGGTTCAGTTTTTTCCCAAAACCCGTATCTATCCAAGCAGACAACGGGTCACACTTCACAGCTACCATCGTCCAGGATTGGGCCAAGGAAGAAGGAATCCGTGGATTTTTCACACCCCCTATTATCCACAAACAAATGGCATAGTGGAAAGAACAAATGGCCTGCTGAAATGATTTCTAAAACCTCAGAAATCCAATTGGGCTGAATGACTGTGGGACGCTGTAAAAATGGTGAATGACTGATGGGGAGTAAATGGATGTCCTGGACCCACAGCTTTTTATCCACAGCCTCCCTCTTTGATAACAGCAACATCAAAACCTGAGGGTAATCAAAAACCCTCTCACTTTCCTGGACAGCCTGTATTAGTGGAAATGCCTTCTGTAGGAGCTGTACCAATGGTACTTGCCACTCCCTTGAACATGGACACCTGGAAAGCAAAAGATACTTATGGCAAAGAACACAAAATAAGCTCTCGGTGGATTGTTCCAACATTTTAATGTTGACCCTAAAAGGGGCCGAACAGATCTTTTCTTTTACAGGTAACTGTTCAATGCAGAAAAGTATTCAGAACTGTGAATGAAAACCTCAGATTTGGACTATGGTTCAGTTTACTGGTAACTGTAGTTATAATTTGTTAGTTATGTTTGTATGGTTATTTATCTTGTCCATGTGCTCAGCAGAACAGACTGTTAAAAGTGAAAATCAAAGGAATCTCACCTGGGAACTATTCAAAGGGTTTGCAAAAATATGGAATCATACCGATCAAGGTATATGTGTAGCATTACCTGAGTCTGCTGACCAAGGATTGCAATTTTTTATACCATTGAATTGATCTTTTGTTTTCAACATGGCTGGTGTGACAGCCCCATTACCCCTATGTGAACAGTGGACAAACAAAACCAATGGAGCCCAAATACTCTGGAAAGATATTCCTATAGTGCATGGCCTTTACCAAACTTATCCCCCACCTCCTAACAGAACTCAGGACTGGATAAAATATTGTAAAACTATGCGTCCAAAGGTAAATGTAACCATCTTATCTCAACTTGAATCCCCTTATCCATCTATTAGATCAAGTAAAGGTGAATTTAAACCTGGAATGATAACCTTTGAGGAATATAATGCTAGACAACCCTGCCTTATTTACTCATGGGACCCACTTTTTGATCCATTATACACACCAGATGTATACGAAAGTAAATATGCCACAGTTTTTAGTCCTTCCTGGACAAGAATCTTTTTCTTCAAAGGGACAGCAGAGAAAATAATGAAATCCATTTAAAAAAAAGACTCGTAACAAAAATCTGTTGAAAACTATCATTAAAAATACAATAAAAACTATAAGCACCACTTAGAAACAGCCTGATACTTCATTAATTAATAGAATTTCTATTTCTAGACTGCTTGAGCTTCCAATGTTTTTAATAGTGTTTTTAAAAAGTGGGAAGGGCACAGATATAGAACAGAAAGCCATTCATTATGCGTAAGAGTTTACAAACTAGGCACTCTCTGAAAGCCTTCCATGGAGAAAGATCTGCATGGTTACCTTGAAGTTTTTGTTCTGACAAAAAAACATACTCCTAAAGTTCCTCAGACATCTGACCTAACCTTTAGCATTTACACACATAAAATCTAAACTAGACAAAATTTTGTGCACTATGAACATAAGACTACAAGGTTGAAACATAAACATGCCATTCATCTTACTTTAATGGCTACTTCCCCTCCCCAAATAATTGCAATAACAAGAAATAACTTGGCACAGTAATAGCAAAAAGGATATCCTGTGATGCTTCTGGTTTAATGCTGTATCCTTCATCATCTATATCAGGAATGTTCTAAAAAACCCAAAAAAAATGGTATTGAGAAATAACTTAAAATATATGCTGTTCTTACATCAGTCTGAATTTTATATAATTGACAAATTAAAATTTTATTATAACACTTTATGAAAGTCACTGTTATGCATTAATAATTATTACAGTTATCTCAAGTTATGCTCTATAGTTCAGAAGTAGTGTGACAGATATCTCAGGAACACAATGCAACAAAACAATCTCCAAATTGCCTATGAAAACTGGCAAGTTTTAATGCATCTACTTTTACTGGTATTCTATCAAAAAGGTCAGAAATCAACAGAAGTATTTTAACTTTACAAATGAGCACTAAATAAGCCTACAATACTCTTAGCCCCAAATATTTTCCCGATTTCTACTTCTTCTAGCTAAGCCGCTAAGGCTCTGATGGTGCAGGAGCATAACCTTTTCTAAATACTAGTCAATACTTTAATAAGTGAATAAAAGCATCCCAGGTTATACAGGTTGCAACTTCCTCTCTCCCCTGAAAAGAAAGCAAGCCTGTACTGTTGCTTTAGCAAAGAATGTACACATTAATTTAAAGGCATGGGTGAAACTTAAAATACAAGTTCTCAAAATCAGATTCCAAAGTTATTGTTTACGCATCTCCAGCACTGTCCTGGATTTTTAAAGCTAATAAGCATCTGGGAACTTAAAACTAGTTCAGTTTTTCAGTTCTTCCAGTCAATTAAATTTTAACTGAAGAGAATTATGTATAAAATCGTTTTGAATTCTTAGCTAAGCACTTAGTTTCATTAAAATGCTTTGGGACAGAAAGAAGCAAGTCTCTAATATGATCATCTAAATTTCAAAAATGTGCAAAAAACCACACTTTTGTATATTACACATAAAGGGATATACTTGGATACACAGATAATTTTCCCGTTCAAAACAGAAAAATAAAATCCCACTCATCACTTTGCATGCATAGTAAGTCTATATAAACTGCTGAGATGCTACAGTAAGTTTATTACAAAAAAAAACCCAGATGTCTTCAAAACTTCTCTAGTTATAAATTTCTTATAAAAATGGCAAAGGGTAGAAGAGATACTTAATGCACCTTTGTAATGACAACAACAAATTGTGCTGCTGACAGTTGTGCTGGGCAGGGCACGTCTCCAGGATACAGGACTACCGCCTCCCTAAGATTGTGCTCTGTGGGGAACTTGCCACTGGTTGCCACAAGAGAGGAGCCCCGAAGAGGAGATACAAGGACTGCCTGAAACAATCTCTCAGACTTGGCCATATTGATCACCACCACTGTTCTACCCTGGCCTCCAATCAGGAGGCCTGGAGACACACTATCTATAACACTGCTGCCTCTTTTGAGAACACACACAGGGTCACTCTCGAGGAGAAAAGACAACACAGAAAGAATCGCATCTTGTCGATATCACCAAGGGAGTCTTTCCGCTGTGCCTTCTTCAACCAGACTTGTCTATCTCGCACTGGCCTTTTTAGCCATCAGTGCGCTTGTAGCAAGTGTAGGTAGAGCCCTTCTCAAATCTTCGTTCGCGAAGCCCAGCCATGATGATGACAAGCTAAGTAGTAATTTCAAAATATTGTTTTCAACATTTTGAACAGTTGGACAGTTCTGCTTTCTGAAACATTAACATTTTATTTACTAATCTACATTTTGTATCAGTAGTAGACGACACGGCCCTTCAAGTGATATACAAAATCACAAATCTCATGTTAATGAAGACATTTACATTTACTTGACTGATTCTTACTCCCTTCTTTACACTCCTACAAAGACAGAACTATATGTTATATGGTGGATCACAGTGCATCTTTTAAGTACCAGGCACACAATACAGACATGGTTTGCCTACCATGCTGAATGGAGGAAAACCCCACAGCCTTCCTATATATACTTGTCATTTTTAACTTTAACACAGAGGAAGATGAGATGATCTTTGCAAATTTTGGGCTTCTTTAAGAAGCAGTTATTAATATGATTTGGGATGAAGGTCTAGCCCCCTACCCAAATATGTTATTTGTAGTATTTGCAGTAAAAATAAGCTCAATATGGATGTCACTTGGACTCTCTAGAAGTCACTGGAAAGGTGAACTTCCTCCAAAGAAGGTTTCACATTCTCAAACATTCTATCCCATAATTAAAAATATAACAATAAACTCCACAATTTTCCTTATGTTTGCAGATGCATAACAACACATTATTGATTAAGGTATTATATAGTTTAAAATATCCATAAAGTCTGTAGGGTTTATAATTCTGCATTTGCATTTACCAACTTTCTGGGGGAATAATTTTTAAAGAAATAAAACATAAAGACATAACAATGAAGTAAAACTACCTATACAAAAAGCATGAGGACTGAGCATTCTATTCCTCAAACTTATTTTTAGAGTTTCACTCAATACTTTGACTCAGTTTCCTTGTTCTGTCCCATCTGGCATCCAAAAAGCAATGGAAGAAGCCAAATCACAATCATGTTATATCAAGACTGAAAAATGAAACAGAATGTAATTCTTAAAGACAAGAAAAACGAAAAACATTTAAACTGGGACCTTCTAGAAGAGGATATAGTAGACTCCCATGATCATGTCTACATTATTTGTTTGCCCCTTGATTCTTACCCATAGGCTATCAATACTGCCATTGCCAACTGTGAGCTCCAGACATTCTAATCCTTCTATTACATACAGTGCCACCCCTCTGCCTCTTCTGCCCTGCCTATCCCTCCTGAAGAGCCAACAGGGAACTCCACTCACAGGAGTCATCCCACCAGGTTTCACTTATGCCACTGATATAAAATCTCTGGGACTGGGCCAAAGCTTGTTTGTTCCTCATGTTGCGTGCATTAGTGTAGAAACATTTCATGTGTGGTACTTTGTAGGCAACACCTCATGAGGCAGATTGAGGGATCCCATAAGTGCTTGTTTCCTCAAGTTCTGGCACACCATCCCATTGCTCATCACTGTAGAGCCTGGTTTTGTCCCTTTCCGCCTTCCAATCTAGTTTAAAGCTCTGTCAACAAGCCCTGCTGGCCCCTGTGCTAGAACTTTTTTTCCCCTCTGAGATAGGTGCATCCTGTCAGGTATCAGTAGACTAGGTGTTGAATAGATCATCCCACAGTCAAAGAACCCAACATTTTTCCAATTACACAAACCTGAGAGTCATGCACTGACCTGATGGATCTTCCTGTTCCTATAAGTATTATTCCTTGTTACTGGAAGAATTGAGGCAATCATTACCTGTGCTTCTGATCCCTCTACCAATTGTACCAGGGCCCTGAAGTCACTTTCGATTGCCCTTGGACTTCTTTGTTAATTCATCACTGTAAGGGTAGTTTGCTTTTTGGAAGAATTTGTAACAGGAAAGCTAGGAACTCTGTTTTCTCTAGGAAGGCTTTCTGCCTAAATGGTAACTTTCTCAAAGAGAATTTTTCAGCCTCTGATATGTGAGAGGACAGAGATAGCCCTAACAGACGTACAGAGGCCTTGGGAAGGTGGGGGAGAAACAGAGAGGATAAAGAGGCCCTAAGAGGGCAGGAACTTGCCTTTTTCTTCATAGGCCCGGTGCGTAAACCGTACTGTTAGGTAGTTTGTAAGTTTCTCATGTTCTGGCCTTCTAAATAAACTTTTTTAATTCTTTCCCCTGCCTTGGTATTTCTGTGGATACCTGCGTATCTTACTTTACAATTGCTGTCAGTTTGAACAACCAATAACAGATAGCAATCAGAGGGCCTTACTAGACTGGAGAGCTTTCCAGTAATGTCCCTTACTGGAGCCCCTGGGAGACAACAGACTTCCCTGTGAGTTGGGTCCAGTCTGCATATCAGACCCTCTGTTCCTCTTAGAAGGGATTCTCCTATTACAACTACCCTTCCTATCCTGTTAACAGAGGAGGTCTTGATGGGGGGTACAGATGTTGTTTTAGGAGGCCCCACTATCCCAGAAGGACATTTGCTCACCTCATCAGTTGTCTGACCTTCTAGTTCCAGAGCCTCATACATCTTGCAGAAGGTACCAGTCCTACTTGTCAAATTCTGAGAAGGAGGAGGAACCTTCCTCCTGGTACAAGCAGTGACCTGCTTCCAGCCTTCATCTTTAACAGACCCTTCACTAACAGTCCTTTGACTAATTACCCTGCAGGGTTCTGAGTCCATCTGCTTCGCTACAATGGAGGTTTGAGACTCCCCAGAGTCTTGAGACTGTAGCATCTCTGAAAATAATTGGTCTTGCTCATTCACTCGAATACTATGTAGCCTGTTCACTTCTTCCTGTAGCTTCTTCACCTGGTGACACAGGTCTTCAACCACAGCACACCTTCTGCAAAATAACTGTTTGTCTGCCCCAGTCTTACGGAGAGGCATCAGGCACTCCTGGCAACCTGTGCCTGGAGAGATGCATCTACCAGGTCTGGCTGTCTGGAGGCCTCTGACATGGCTGGTTCAGTGACTCCTGCAGCTACAAGAGATTATGCTTTACGGAGTGTCAACACCATAACTGAGGAAGCTTAAACTAGTATGCCAATAAGACTGGAGATGAAAGGATCTCTTTGCTCTTCCTCACTAGCTACTGAATCTGTTTGCTACCTCTATTGGCTGCTCTCAGATGGTCAGAGAAGCCCTTCCTGCTAGCCCTGCCTGCGCAAACTGCTGTGCAAACTGCCCTGCCACGCCTTCACTGATGTGCCATGCCCCTGTTCACTGCACTCCACTTTGGGTCACTCGTACTCCCTGGAGCCTTTTAAACCTCCCTCGGTTGCTCCTGGCACTGCCCCCTGCTCACCTGATTGGCTACTGAGGGCTTCTGTCTTGGGGCTCATTGCTGCATGGGTTCCTGAACTCAGGAACCTCCCTGTACTGCTGGATCTCACCCTCTGGTTTTCCCTTCAGTCATGGCTGCTTGAGCCTCACTCCTACTATAGCTATAGGGAACTGCAATCTTTGTTACATATAATTCAAGACAACATGCATGTTTATTAAAAAGAAAATGCTCAATTAAGAAAATAAAAAAAAACATTAACATATCAATTTCATTTGCAACTGTCACTTATTTGAATTTAATAAATAAAACTCTAAGACATATCAGAGATCAAACTGAGAGCAATGAAAAACAGACCATGAATAAAGTGCACTGAGATATTACATTTAAAGCCATATTTAAAAATGTATATTCCTACACACTATTGCAAACAATCACCCAGAACCCCATTATTATTAGAAGGGTTCTCCAAAGAGACAGTTGTAAGCAGAGGAACATGATGATGTAAAGCTGGGTCCTCTGAACCTTTTTCTTACTTGAAATTGATTAGTCAAGCAATTTAAACTATTAGTTTGCAAAACAGAGAAGCAAATAATTGCAGCAAAAACACCTTATTTAAAACTTAAGATTGTTAAGAAATATAAATGATGCATATTTGTATATACTGCTAAAGATTATTTTCTGAACAAAATTAACACTTCAACTATGTTATCAAAATATTAAATCCTCTGTCCTGTATATAAGTCAAGTTACATCAGATTGTAGTGCTTGACAATGTTAGCATATGCATTTGTGTTGGAAATGTCTACTTACAACTGAGTCTGTATCTGGACACATCCTATTAAAAAACAAACAAACAGAAAACAATTATAAAATGCACAAATTATTCCAGTCATACAGCTCTTGTACTTCCTTAAATATTTTCAATTAATTTGAAACATTGCACTTGCCCCATTTACCTTTCAAACTCTTAAAATTTTTGTTAACATAGAATCATAGAATGGTTTGGGTTGGAAGGGACCTTAAAGACCATCTAGTTCCAACCCCTCTGCCATGGGCAGGGACACCTTACAGTAGACTGGGTTGCTCCAAGTCCCATCCAACCTGACATTGAACATTTCCAGGAATGGAGCATCCACAGCTTCTCTGGGCAACCTTTGCCAGGGCCTTACCACCTCCACAGTAAAGAATTTCTTCCTAGTATCCAATCTAAACCAACCATCTTTCAGTTTAAAGCCATTACCCCTGGTCCTATCATTATCTGCCTATATAAAAAGTCCCTCTCCCTCTTTTTTATAAGCTCCCTTCAGGTACTGAAAGGCTGCAATTATGTCAACCTGAAGCCTTCTCTTCTCCAGGCTTAACAATACCAATTCTCTCAGCCTTTCCTCAAAGGAGAGGTGTTCCATCCCTCTGACAATCTTCACGGTCCTGCTCTGGACTTGCTCCTTCCTGTGCTGGGGACTCCAGAGTTGGATGCAGTACTCTAGTTGGGGTCTCACAAGAGTGGAGTAGAGGGGCAGAATTCCCTCCCTTGACCTACTGACCATGCTGCTTTTGATGAAACCCAGGATGTAGTTGGTTTCTTGGCTGCAAGCTCACATTGCCAGCTCCTGTCCAGCCTCTCATTCACCAGCACCCCCAAGTCCTTCTCACCAGGACTGCTCTGGATCAATTAATTCCCCAACCTGTACTGATACTTGGAGTTGCCCCGACCCATGTGCAGGACCTTGCTCTTGGCTTGTTAAATCTCATGAGGTTCCCACATTCAACCAAATGGCATTTAAACAAAAGAAGCTGAAAGTTTATGCTAAAATATTGCAGAAGAAAAATTCTTAGTAAATGCTGAAAACCACAAATCACATCATAGTGAAAAAAAAAATAATCAAGGGAAGTTGATAGTATCACACTTCATTTTGAATTAATATACTTTAAGCATCAGGTTTCTATGGATGATGTGCATAATAAATAAAAGTCACCAATCCTAATTAAATAGTCCACACCCAATTGCAAAACATTTTGGACAATAACCAGTTCTTAAAGCAATGAAGACTATTCTTAAAGGGATTCAGAGCTTCTCTCTTCTGGAATTTCATTCTTAGATTGAGTTTGTCAAGCACACTTGCAGTCAAGTACCAGAAGATGCTGGAAAAAAATAATAGAATATCCTCTTTGGAAACACTTAAAAAAAAGTTGTCAGAAGAAAGGCAGGAATTGCAAACACGTTATTCTCAAGTGTTACATTTTTCTGCTATAATTTGAATTTAAGAAATAATATTTTTAAAAACTAATGACACTGAATCTCTCTCACTGATGTATGCAAAAAGCAGAAGCAATTACATTTATAGTATGTCGAAATACTTGAGTAGAATACGTCCTCTCTAATCTGCATCCTGACAAATAAAGCCATAAGTGGCAGTGCAACTGAATGACAGTGTTTTTATACAGTCGAACATCTTAAATGTGTATTTATTAAAAAAAAAAAAAGAGAGACTGAAAAAGTCAAATTTGTAGCTAAGTCATCTTTCCTGAAAGGCTAAATGGATTAAATGTAAAAGCTACAGTGTCTTTTAAAACATATATGAAAACTTGCTAACATGGAAGCATTAATATGTAATTCAGTACTGGTTGTTAAGAAATTAACAGTGAGATGAAGGATCTTATCTCCTCTTGTATTGGGTCTGGCTGAGCTGGAGTTCATTTCCCCACAGTAGCCCTCACAGTGCTGTAGTTTGCATTGGCAGCTACAAGGGTGTTGATAACACACCAGTGTTTTGGCTACTGCTGAGCACAGCACCAACACTGTAACATTCCTTCCTTAGTTGAGGGCAAGATCCTGGGAGGGGACCGAAGTAGGCCAGCTGACCCAAACTGACCAAAGGAATATTCCATACCACATGACATCAGCTCAGATATAAAAGCTAAGTCAAGGAGCAGGAGGGCGGACATTCATTGTCCGGGTACTGAAGCCCTGCTTCTCAAGAGTGACCAACCATCGCTGTTCATGTGAAGTAGAGAATAAACCCTGCTATCTTTCACTTCTGCGCACACAAGCTTCACTTTGCTTTTTGCTTTAAATAAACTGCCTTATCCCAACCCACAAGTTGTTTTTCACCTTACTCTCTCCCCTGTCCCACTGGGAAGGGGAGTGATAGAGTGGCTGGGTGGGCACCTGGGGTCCAGCCAAGGTCAACCCACCACACCTCTGAAAGGCCCCACACAAAAGAGAACAAGTTAGACCAAGTTTCTAATTGACTTACGTCTTATCTCCCTCTGCTGGATAAGCTGAATTCACAGCAATAGAAACAACTATTTTAAAAGTTACTTTACAGAAAAAAGAGAAAACATTTCTCTCAAAAGGTATAAGAAACAGATGTTATGACATCTGCTTTTAAAAAGCATCTGTACTCAAACAAGATGGCCTGAAATCCATAAAAGTTCAGAAATATGAAAGATGAGAGGTAAACTAAAACAACCAAATCATGCAAAGCAGTGATTAGAAAAAGAAGTGAAATCCTTGACTGAACCTGTATAGCAATATATAAAATACATTGTGTATAGTATTTTCCTGTGTATAACCATTACTAGACGCAGTATCAGTATATGTCAACACTAAGGGAGGGACCCCATGCTGGAGCAAGGGAAGAGTGTGAGAAGTTCTCCCCTGAGGAGGAAGCAGTTGCAGAAACAACATGTGATGAACTGCCATTAAACATCACTCACCAAGGCAAACAGGATCGTCCTGCAGTAGCGCAGGGGATTGAAGTGAGCAGGGCATATTTCTAGAGCCAGGGGAACTGCAAGAGAGCACCAATACCCATGTGGAGTTGACAGCTTGCCCTAGAGCAGCTGATTCAGCATGGGTGGAGCCAGCAGTGACTGTTAGGTGGCAGTCACAGCAGTGACAACCAGTGGTTGTTCCCACTCTCTCATAAGGAGCACGTAGTTAGTGCAAGTAACCAGTTCTATGAACAGGGCATGTGACAGCAGTTTGTGTGGCACTTTGCGCAGGCAGAGCAAGCAGGTAGGTCTCCTGTCCAACCATCTGGGAGCAACTAGCAGAGGCAGTGAACAGACCCAGTAGTTGGTGAAGAAGGGCACAATGAGGTCTTTTCATTCCCAATCTTACTTGCATACACTCCCTCAGATATGGTTTTGACACATCACAGGGCTCATTCCCCTGTAGCTGCAGAAGTCACTGCACCAGCCATGTCAGAGGCTTCCACCCAGACAGACCTTCTGATGGTAGATTCAGCTCTCCAGGTCTCAGGTTGCTGGAAGTGCCTGATGCATCTCTGTGAGGAGAAGGTGTGTTATTTTTTATAAGTTGTGTCTCTGGGTGAAGGAACTACAGAAGGAAGTGAACAGTCTGTGCAACATTTACAAGAATGAGAGACAAATCAGTATGGTATTCTCAGAGATGCTACAGTCTCAGGAGTCTCAACCTCCCCTTGCAGTGGAGATGCAGGTAGGCTCAGAACCCTGTCAAGCAGTAATTTAAAGGTCTGTTGAACATGAAGGCTTGGAAGCTGGTCAGTGCCTGTACACAGATGACAGCTCCTCCTGTTTCTGAAAACTTGAGATGACAAGTAGGACTGGCACCTTTTACAACAGGTATGAGGCCCTGGAACTAGAAGGACAGTCAACTGATGAAGTGGATGAATGTCCTTCTGGGATAGAGGGGCCACCTGGGACAAGACAGCCTACCTCCTGCATCATCACCTCATCTGTTCAGAAAAAAAGAAGAGTAGTTATCATAGGTGACTTCCTTCTGAGGGGAGCAGAGGGCCCGATATGCAGACCAGACCCAACTCACAGGGAAGTCTGCTGCCTCCCAGGGGCTTGGGTAAGGGACACTACTAGAAAACTCCCTAGTTGTAGTACAGCCCTCTGATTATTATCCACTATTGGTTCTTCATGTTGGCAGTGATGAGATAACAAAGAGAAGTCCAATCAAAAGGGATTTCAGGGTCTTGGGACAAAGGATGAGGAGTATAGGCAGCTTTTCCTAAATCCTTCCAGTAGCAGGGAAGAATATCAAAAGGAAGAGGTCGAGCCATCAGATCAACATGTGGCTCCAAGGCTGGTGTTATTTGAAAGATGTTGGGATTTTTGACCATGGGATAGTCTATAGAATACCAGGTCTACTGACACAGGAGCTAGCAGGGCTCATTGATAGAACTTTAAACAAGATTGAAAGGGGAAAAGGGACAAAACCAGGCTTGCCAGTGATCAGCAATGGGATGGCATGCCAAAATTTGAGGGACTGAGTGCCAGCAAGATCCTTCAATCTGCTCCATGAGGTGTTGGCTACAATGAACCACACTTGAAATGTTTCTGTACCAATGCGCACAGCATGAGGAACAAGCAAGAGGAGCTCAAAGCCTTGGCCCAGTCCCTGAGATATGGCATCATTGGCATAAGCGAAACCTGGTGGAATGAGTCCTGTGACTGGTATGCCATGATGGACAGTTACAGGCTCTGCAGGAGGGATGGGCAGGCGAGGTGGTATTGTATGTAATGGAGGGACTGGAATGTATGGAGTTTGCAGTTGGCAATGGCACAGTTGAGAGCCTCTGGGTAAGGATTAAGGCACAAATAAATAATGCAGATGTCATCATGTGAGTCTACTATAGATCTCCCAACCAGGATAATGACTCTGAAGAAGTATTCTTTGAGGACCAAGGGACACCTCTGAATCAACCGCCCTTGCCCTTATGGGACACTTCAACTTGCCAGATGTTAACTGGGAATATCACATAGCTGGTACAAACAGGTCCAGAAGATTCCTAAAATACCTGGATGAAAACTTCATGGGAGAGGTACTAAGGGAGCTGA